CCGCTTAACCTGGGCCACCCTGTATGATACCTTGAAACATCCGACAATAATGAGAATTTATATGTGAAACGTAGTGAAAATTTTTTACCTTGAACGAATGTATTTAGATATTTGCTAAAATTTCTGTGATTTCAATTCATGCTTCTTTCTAACTTTAAATTTTAAACTTTACCTGTTATCAATGAAAAATGATTTGACTAGTCTTCTTTATATTACTCGCAAAAAGATATTTGCTATCCTTAACTACTGCTTTCCTAGATAAACAGTAATTTATTCAAGTTTATAGACCGAATATTTTTAATGGAATTGAAGCTAATTTATTGGACTTTACATACATATAAACTCATATTCAATTAATATCTATCAGCCAGCAAAAAACAAATAATTAGCGAACCAATCATCAAATTACTGAATGTTTATATTTAGAGGGACTTTAGAAGTTAACTTAATTATTATTTAGTTTATCTTTTGAGAACTAGATTCGTGGCAAGCATGTTGAATGCATGCAAATGTTGCAAATTCATGAAATTTCGAATGCGTTATTGTGCTTAAATCTGAACTTTTAACTATATCAATAAGGCATTTTATTACTAATTAATTAATTTTAAAAAAAGATCATAATGTAATTTTTACAAAACTCTTTGAGTGAAGCTGCACGAAAATAGAAAAACTAGATAATTTTTGTTTAGAAAAAAATACTGCAGAAGAAAAAAGAAGACTTTACAGAAGAAATCAATAAGTTGATTATATAAACTGCTTATTTTCTTTTTGCCTTTCTACTTTCACACTTGATCTCGTGAACACAACAAACTTAAAGGGTTTTGTAACAACATTTATACAAATAGTAACAAAATATATTTCAAAACATTGCAAAAACTATTGAGTTAACTCGGAATATCCTATGCAAATACCTATTTTATTGCGTTTTTCAATACATAACAGACAGATTAGCCGCATTAATCAAATGGAATTCAAAGCAAAGATATTTTCATAGTAGGTAGATAAATTTCTTTGTAAACTTAATAACAAACGCTGAAACAATAAAGTGCAAGGTTTATAAACTGCCATCAACGTGCATTTCACACAAGTCGGTCTTCAAAGAATACAATTCAAATTGTTTATATATGCAGTGAGAATAGACGTTGGTTTTGCAAATAAATAGCAAATTGCGTCGACTTTTAGGCAAATCTAGGCAACATCCGAATACTCAAAGAAAGCATGAGCGATTTCAAAACAGAACAAATCGCAAATTTTACATTAGCTCTGGCAACAGCTTTTGAAATTCTGGCGGAATATCGCGAGTCAAAGCTGGGTAAGGATTATTTAAGCTAAAAAAAAAAGAAAAACCAAACTATAAATGAAAATTTGTTCTAGGAGCTAATTGTAATCAAGCAATAATGTTGATAACGGACGGATCACAAGATAATTACAAAGATGTTTTCGAAAAGTACAATTGGGACAATCTTCCAGTCGTAACTGTGAGATTATTTACCTATCTTGTGGGACGAGAGGTGAGCGATCCAAGGGATGTTAAGTGGATGGCTTGCGCCAATCAAGGTGAGTAGAATACAGTTCGTGGCAAAACGAGTGGACTACTTTTAAAGTATAATAATATATTGAAAATCCGTCTATATTTAGGCTACTACGTTCATCTGAGCACATATGCAGAAGTGCGCGAAGAAGTTCTGCACTACATTCCAGTAATGGCACGACCAATGGTACTAAATGCTAACCAAAAGCCAAATCCAGCATGGTCACCAGTATACGCGGACGTTACCGACCCGAAACTGACCAACTGGTTGTGGGTTAATAGACAAAGATTTACTCAGCGAGATAGATATCTCATATTTAGTAAATACAAGGATTTGATGTCTCCAAATGAGATCGATAAGAAGTTTGTTCATCAACAGAAACTGGTAAGCCTACGAAGTTTTTGTTGTTTGAAGGAATTTGAATCAAAATATATTTAATATTAATGTTGCTGCTTTATCGAATCATTGAAACAGAATTTTGTTTTCTTTCTGTCATGCAAGAAATAATTCAATGTACTTCTCGTTATTCCTCTTCATTAAATTCCTGAAGTTAATGAAGATTGTTTGGCGATTATTAATGGAGAGCTCCTGTGCAACAAGATGTGTCATATTTTCATGATCCAATTTACTTTCTCTTTAAATTTCAATGGTTTCTAAATATTTGTATCCATATTTGAAAATGTAATGCATAAGCTTAAAAATACTTATACGAAAACGAATTTTTATTTTTGAATTTTGGGAATATAAATCTAATATCCATCGTATGCATGCTTTAATTCAATGATATATTTGGTTTTAATCGTAGCTTAATGGTTGAAATATAAGCTGTCTGTTTTCGTTTTTATTCATGCGTTAATCATCTTTTAAATAGGTGTAATTTCTGAAATATTTCATTGAAACCCGATTTCAAGAAGTTATCTCACATATTTATTTTGATATAAGTACATATTATTAATTAATATTTCGATATTTTATAACATTTCTAAAGGCATTTATTCAAGCCGAATTTTCATCAATCAAATTAAGGAAATGGAGTTTTCTAACGTGAACTTTATTTTTATCCACTTATTTTTACGAAGCATCAAAGGGAAATAATTTTGTTTATTTTTGTGTATCTACTATTATCTAAGCACTTTTAGTTACGAGTTTTTCGAGTTTGAGTTTGCAACCCCTGTGAAAAAAACTAAACAGAAGTTTAATACGAGCACTGAATGAATATACAAAACACATTTATTTAAAATCATTTAATACGTTGGTTTGTATTTGGAAAAATGTGTACGTTTCATTTCATGTGTACAATTATATGGACTATTCTTATAAAATAAGACGTAGTATCGTTTCTGCTAGGATCAGCATAATTTAACTATAAAAGAAGTAGGATGGTTGATTTTTCTTGGGAATTCGGTCTGGGCAGTGGTGAAGCAAAGGAAAAACTTTTTAGCCATCAAGCTTTCGGCAATTTATTGTTGATAAGAAGGCCGGGAACCCTTCAGAATATTTCATATCATTTTTTTGTACAGCTTCATGAAATATTTAATTTTACGAAATATTCTGGAGAGTTCCCAGCCTTCTTATCGAGAAACAATTAGCACCCTGAGGAAAGCGACAATAAATTGCCGAAGGCTTGGTAGCTAAAAAAGTTTTTCTTTTTCTTCACCACTGCCCAGACCGAATTCCTAAGAAAAATCAACCATCCTGCAATTAGCCAATATCGGTCAAGAAACTGAACTTATAAAACAAGCCACAGCAGAAACGACAATTCAATCTCAGATAGTCTTTAGTCTATAGATATTCATTCTAAAGATTTGCGGTCGACGAGATATAAGTCTTAGTTAAGGTTCGGTTACAACTAGAATCTATCGTTTGTAATAATTTGAAAATAAATTGTTTTTAAAACGCAAACTTTCAAATTAATCAATAGAATTGTACGCAAGGCCGGACATATGCCATGTTTTTCGGTCAATAAACTAAAAAAAAATGCTAATTGCTTGGAAATTGTTTCATCAGTTCAAAGTTAAATTTGTGACCAAAATAACTAAAATATTTTTAAATAAATTAGGAAAACGCGGACGAAAGGGAAATACTCTGCTCCAGTTTTGCTGATTTTACTCGCGGGGTCCTCATTTGTTCTTTTGTTAATATTTTTGGGCGGAGGCTTTACGCACTAACTTTCCTAAAATTACTTGTCCAGTTGATTCTGCGTGCTATTCTTGTGAATGAAGCAATATATTTCATTTGTGTGTTTTAGGGAGCTGTGAGATTCTTAGCTTTGTAACTTTCTTTTCTGCTGATAAAGACTTTACTAATTATCAAAATAACTTAACTAAATAACTTCTACTGTTATGTCCTCCTATAATATTTCTATGCATTACTCCTCTTTTACATAGCTATTTTTTTTAATTTACATTTTCACCGTAAAATAATTTTATTTTTGACTAAAATAATCGTTGTCAAACAAAAATCCGATAATCAAAAAAAAATTAGTAAATAAACGCACAATTCTGTGTTGCTAAATTTACATTAAATTTTTTAGAAATTATACCGATAAAAATTAATGGTAAAATATTGTTTGTCTTAAGAATCCGGTTATCCTTAGAATCATATTTATTTTGACTAAAATATTGAGCTTATCAAATGATTTTGTATAATCAAATTATCTGTATAAATAAAATAACCGTCAGAAATATATCTTTCAAAAATGCAAGTAGAAGTCCCCAAAGAAAAACAAAACGCTGAATTTTAGGTGAATTTGTTCCAACCTTACTGTATATCGTGCTACTGTTAGTAGGTGATTTTGAGTCCAGAATTGAAGTTCTCATTCATAAAAATTATTAAAATTGAAATGCCATAAAAATGTACTGTTGAATATTTAAAAACAATTTTTTAAATATTCAAAGCTTGCATGAAAAAGCTTCAATGCACTTTTACTAGACCTCCTAGAACTAGACACCTAATTCAAGAATGTTTCTCATATTCCTTGTATGCTTGTCGATATCAACAATTATAAAAAAAATTTTTTTAAGTATACTGTAAATAAATTCCCGTTCCAGAAACAAGACCATTATGGAGAGACTCAAACTTACAACCTGATGACTTCCGTGTCATTACCAGTATATGACAAAAAACCCCGTCAGGTAAATTAGTTACTGACTACTTGAATTTACACTAGATAATATTTGAAGTGTCATAAGGAATTTGCCAAAGACCTTATTCTTTTAATGGCCCAATATAGAAAAAAAGTAAAAACGACGGCAAATTCCTTACTCTGCATTATCTATAGTTAACAATTTCTTCAAATATATCTGCAGAATATAACCGAAAAAAAGCAAATAAACGAAGCAGTATGGATAACGGTCACCAGAGAGGTAATCTATGAAAATCGCTATTAGGCCAGTGTTAATTATTAGAGATTCTAGACGAATTTTAGGCCAGCAAGCGTGATATTTAGCAGTGGCCCCGTTTTCCAGTCCAGAGTAGAGTATTTTTATGGAGTTTTTAGCCGTTTATGATAAAACACTTAGGTATAGACCACTGAATAGAGTCCAGTAGAGCATAGAGTTTTTTAGAACTAGAATAGGCGATTGAACTATTTGTTAATTGGCAATATGTCTTAGAAATACGTAAATTATATTAGGATACAAAACTTGCGAAGTAGAGCTGTTTGTGCTGCTTTACTGTAACATAAATTTATTCCAAATTAACTTAGTGCTTTCTGAATGTAGGACTAATGAATATTGTTACTTTAAACTTACTTAAAGTCAAATGATAATGTTAGGTAATCTGGCGTGTGGATATTCAAATCAAATAAAAGAAAATTTGCCAAATTTTCCACTTTCAGTTCTACTTTTGATAAGTTATACTTTTTATATGGTAATATTAAAGTGAAATACTTAGCTAGAAAGTGGCAACATATCTACAAAAATATTCAACCAACAGCTTATTATATTTGAATTCAGTTCATACAAATATTCAGAATATTTGTAAAATTTTCTAAAAACCGGTCCAAAATCGTAAGGAAACGAATTGTTTTATAAACCATTTGAAACTTTTTGCCACAATGATGGCAAAGTAATGATGCAACTAGAATCGAAAATATATATTTACTTTCAGGTTTTGCTACATCAAATATGTGAATTGTCGATTTATTGGCAGTAATTTTGAATCTTTACTGCAATACAAATTAATAATATGCTTGCTTTTCACCAGTTTACCGATATTAATAAAAGGTTATTCATTATTTATTTATTTCTCGTTTTTCAGTCTTAATAAAATTTCCCAACTTAATATAGCAGATAAACATGTCCAGAAATATTCACTTTTGCAGCGGCAAATACAATTAACGAAAGTTCAATAGAAATTATTTCTAATTTTCTTAACTAAGTGAGAATGCTTGTCCCTTTAAAGCTCTTGACTTCTCAAGTTCAAATCAAATCACACTTAAAGAGTGATCTTTATTTTCACTAAATGGCAGATCAACTAATTAATGTAACTTAAATATAATGAAATTATTGCCAATTTCTTAACTGTATCATTTTAAAATTATTATATGTGTGTATATATAATTAACTATTTTTTATATTTCGTACCCAAATCCTTAAATGATTCTACATATATTAGCAATTTTTAAGATCAAGTGTGAACTACTAAATATTTCATCTCTGTGTACGCTGCGCATGTTAATTTGGGCAACCAAATGCTGATATTACGATAATTTCTTAAAAAAACTTCTTCGGAGCAGGGGATTCAATTTACACGTTTCCAGAATTGAAACTAAATATCAACAATGTTGATGAAATTATTTATAATTTGCATCTCACAAAACCGATAAATCAACTATATTTTGAGTAATATCTAATTTATTCTATATCTAATCTACTAAGACAAACTAAATCGCTTTTATCGGAAAGCTTTGGTTTAGTTACAGGTTCAATTACCAAACTGATGAAAATTTTCACTAAACCACAGCTATTTGCATTTTTCACTGCAAAGGCGCTAACTGTTTGAGCTACTGTCGATATAAACTTGAAAATGACGCACAAAACAGCGGTTGAGAGTTACAGATATTTTAGATACAGATAAAATTAAAAAAACCGATAAAAGAGATAATAAATATTTTCAGAACCACAATTTTCAAAAAATTTAAATATCCTTTAATAACTAACCCGAAACAGCTAACAGGAGCCTAACGAACGTGAAGTTATGGCAAATCAAAATCGTATCTGTTAAATTGACTATTTCGATGGTTTTTAGGAGAGAGTGGCAAATTTATTAGGCGTAGCTGGTACTGATGTTCCAATAGAATATATACAAAGATTAATGCTTCCACACAGAGTAAGTAATTTCGTCATATTTCAACTTTTGTAAAATTAATTAAATTTGATAAATTTCATTATAATCAATGTTAATTTATTTCAGTTGGGTGTAAACGGTTATGGTTTTATTGTCACAAATAATGGCTATATTTTGACTCATCCGGACCTTAGACCTGTGGTAAGTTTAAATACCAGAAAATGTATCTTTTACACACAAAGTACGTAAAAGAAACAGAGTTCTAATAAACACATTATTCTATTTACGTATCTGCTGTACAATTGAGAAAATTCCTCAATTTTAGTAGCGTAAGGAGAGATTGCTTTTTTGCGTGTATTTATACGCGTTGAAACCTATAATGTAAGTAATAACATACAAGAAAATATAAGTATAGAAAAAATAGCAAAGTAAGTCAGCAGATGAAAGCGCTCAAACAACAAACAGCCTAAAAAACTACAATAAGGCAAATAATTCAATACCACAAAAGAAAATATTATTCAAATAATAAAATAAGTGACATGAGTTCACTAATTAATTTTATATGAAAAATTTGAATCACATTGAATCTGACCAAAAAAATAGACAATAAATGCATATACAAAAATTAAAGTGAGAGAACGAAAACAAAACTGAAGTACCCAAGATAAATCTCAAATTTCGACTATATTCTAACTATATCCAATATCTTGGATCATTAACCCAGTTATGCATTAAATTGTAGAATACCATCATAATTTATTTGGCTACAAAAATTGTAATTTTCTTTCTCAAATAGCAATTATTGATCTTCATTTTGGTGAGGTTAAAGCTGTATTGGATGCACTACTTTAGAGTAGATTTATTTTGTCAAACTTTGGAATTAAATGCGAAAAGTTAATCTCTAGATTAGAAAAAGTACATTTGTATAACAAGTTTTAGAAATATAATATAATAAGAACATAGATGCTGCCAAACAGTCTATAAATCTTACAATAAAAATGATGGTTAATGATATTTGCTGCAAAAAATCTAGATTTAGTAGATATTATTTCGCATGAACAATAGTAAAATAATGTCGTTTTAAATAACGAAACAGTTACAGACTGTCTGAGTTCAATTATTACAACTACGCAAGTTTAAATTAGATTTTACCAAAATAAACCCTCTTTATGTGAATTTCTAGTACCAAGGTATATTGAAACCGGCGTACAATCGGGTAGATTTCATGGAGGTTGAAATACTCGATGACGACAGTGAGCCTAGAAGATTTAATGAAGAAATACGGGACTTGCGAAAGAAAATTATTATGCAGAAAAAAGGAAATATAACGCTGAGGGTCAAGAGCCATTTAGATGACATTGTAAGTTCAAAAATTGGCACGATTATTCGTAAACATTCGTCTACTTTAACTAATTCCGAAAAAATAATTTCAGAAACGCATCCATATAAGTAACCGTTATTATTACTACAGAGGAATCAATGACACACCGTTTAGTTTAGTTATTGTGTTACCTGATAAATATGGCTTCTATGGGGTGTTACCTTCTGTAGAAAATGATATTCACAGGCTAAGGTCCAACGATAAAGGGCCACACACTCTAGCTCAATTTTTTAATGGCAATTGGGCTATCCATCCCGAATGGTAAGTTTCAATATCAATACTAAATAGTAGCTAGCTAAATTGCAAGAATTAATCAACCAAGTAGATAGATGATTTATCTTATAAACACGCATGATATGAGAAATGATGAAGAATAGCAACCAAATCAATAGCATTTGAATTTTATTTCATAGCTACAACTGAATGTAATTGATGTTTAAGCATTTGTATATTTCCGGTTCCATTATTAGATTAGATCTTATTTTAATTTACTTCAATGCATTTGAATTTCAATAAAGTTTATAGAATTTTATGAAAGACTATTTATTTAATTGGTCTTGGTGAACCTGATCGTTTATTACTATATGTAATATCAGAAAACAATTTTGATCGCATTTGTAATATACATTGTTTTAGTGTCAATTATTAGTTTGGGGTGTTAAAACTTAATTTTTTTCTTTAAGGGAAATTCAAAAAATATCTGTTATTTTTGTCACAAACGTTATTAATTATACTTAGGTGGATTATTATATTTATGCCTTGATTTAATTTGTTTATTTGAAAAGTCTATTTTTATTGTCCACAGCTTACACGGAAAGTTTTGTTAAATATCAGTATTTAAGTAAATTTATTCAATTTTTTATCTGACTATGGTGTTTGAAGAGTTCTTAAACTTATCAGTACCTAGTCATAATAATTTATTCGGTAATTTTTTTCCACATAAAACAGTATAATAAACTTTTTAATAAGCAGTTTTATTAGTTGCAATTAAATTCTCCAAAACGTTTACTATCCCACAGTTGCATAAATTTTAACTTTTCCTGGATACTTTCTAAACATTTTGTATAAAATAATTAATAAAGAGAAATATATTTAGATTTTTTTTGCTTTTATATAATATTACCTTCTCATTGATTAATAGAAGTGTTTCTTAGGCACTACTGCAAAGACCTAGATGACAAGCATTACTTTGAAACAGCAGAGGAAGAATTTTTGTATTTCCTAAAGAAAATGGACCGGCCTGGATGGAAATGGTCTCGAGAGTGTAAGTTTTTGACATGATATAAGAAATAATATAATTGTATAAAAATTATTGCTCCAATTTGGGACAAAACATAAGTAAATAAATTTAAAAATTCAACTATTAAAAACGGTTAAAAACTGAACTATTGTAAATTTTATCAGGTTTCACATATATTTTTCTTAACTATTATTTGTCCAATTCGGATTTATAGAAATTAAATATTTTGAAACCATTTAATTCTTTTAGGTGACCGTAAGTTGATCACTAAAGTGGTAGCTGATGCAAAAACTACAGTGTGGTTTAGTGAAAACATCACAACCACTACTAAAGAAGATAAGGGGTGAGTGTTTATTAAACTTTTTGTTTATTTGCTGATTTGACCAGATGAACCATAGAAACACTAATGTCGAATATAGAAACTGTTATAGCCAAGATCTCAAACCGTAAACCAGTCTGAAAGTAAAACTTTTCAAGTACATGCGTTGCATTTCAAAAACAATACTATAATTACCTTAAGTTTGTTGGAATTTTTTATTAACGAAATTTTATGAATGGCAAGCACTTTGAAAATTCCCACCTATTATGCACAAATTATTTATATACACAAGGTGTTCAAATCAAATAACAAATTTTCAGAAAAAAAACACTCTATACCCAGGTATAGACCGTAAATGACGCGGCCGTAAATCAGTTTTAATTAAATTACTTTGAAATTTTGGTCTTCAAATAGTGTCTTTGAAACTCATTTTGATGTTCGAGTTCGCCAGGGACCGGCCAGCTCTTACACATTCATATGAACAATTTGTATGATAAAGACGCAAGAAAACTACTTTTAGATAGCTAGAGGCTTAAACTAAGAAATCTAGTTAGGTTCTTATTACACATAGAAAGTTTTCTATATGTAATAAGTTTTTTAATAAAACAAAACTTTAATTTAATTAAAGCTCATCAGAAGCGAACTGAAGAATTAATAATTTAGATCTTTAATTAAAAACTTCACAACTGTGTTTAACATGGGCTACTTGTGGTCTGATATATTCATCATTATCATTTATTCATTTCGCATTCGACAAGGTTTAATTTAATTAAAAATTGATCTAAAATAATAGGGGTTTTCAGGGAAATGGTAAAAATATTTAAAAATTGTTTGATGGTCAAAATTATGAGAATTAGGCACTATTTTAAGGGGCTTGGTATCAGTCATGTTAAAAACCTATTAAACTATAAATAAAGATTTTTAGCGTCCAAAAATTCAAATGAAACGGAGAGGACGAATTCCCAAGACAAAAATATTTCATATTAAAATATAGGTAGCAAGTAATAAAAAGTTCAGAAAAGGGGCGACTTACAGCAGTTTACTTTTAGGGTCTATATCTTAGTGGAAGAGTTTGTAGAATTTGTAATAAGATGGCATGATTCATATTTACTTAGTGTTTCTAGACAGTTCATAAACCATGTATCTTTGCACATATTTGTTTAATACTGCACTAATAACTTGTTTTTATTATATAAGACCTATGTCTATATTGATGGCTCTGATATCCAGGTACAGTATATAACATTCCTCGATAAGACAGAGAAATGTTTTTGTATTAGTCATTAATGCTAATTTAATTTCTTTGATCAATTACTTGTTTTGCTCAGGTGGTTCCCAGAATAAATGTATAAAGCAGTGATAATGTCAAGAAACGTATGATTTTTTATTGCATTTGAGGATGAGATTACCTTGGGATTAAATCATGATATGCAATAAAAATAAATCAATTCATTGCTTCGTTTTTTACAAAACTTTGTCAAAATAACCCCGAGGAAACTGTTTTGAGTTCCTACAATACGAACAGTATTCTCCGAGGAAAAATCTATTTTAATTAAAATAATAAATAGCAAGTTTTACGCAACATGTTTAGAAACAAACTCAATAGCCATAATTAACCATCGCATACTATCCGGACATATTTCAGTCCTTCACCTCGGATTGACACAAATAAAAGAAATTTTAAAAAGTTGCGTATAAAATACCAAGTAAAACCCGGAATTTCTTACATATCATAGTTCTATCAAGCGGAACTTGTATATACGATCGCCTCTCATTTTGATATATCTAGCCTGATACCCTTCAGCACAAACTATTATATTATATAAAAATGTTATATGAAATTGGGTTGAATTCGCACAAAAGGTTTATATTTTTCGATTATTTCCCTAGAAACTACCGGACAGATCATGTTTATAACAAACAAAATTTCTTTAGTAACATTGTTAAGCCCAAATTTTAAAACGCAGCACTTTGGGTTTTATTGACGATTCGAACAATTCAAATTTTGCCAATATTATTTATGATTCATTCAAAAATCTGTTGCTTTTTTAAATAAATTTTTGGGCCTAAATTTTCTTCATAAAAATCCTTAAAATTAAAAGTTTGTAAAGAATTAATTGCAACAAGTGGAATTAGACTGAAAATCATATACTAATTGTAAACTAGTATTTTTATTCATTAGTCCAGTTAATTATTTAAAAAAAAATACTTAAGTAATAAAAAATAAATGAAAACTAGATAAAAATAATAATTTTTGAGCAATATTCATTAGGAACCAAGTGCCGGGTTTGGAATCGTAAAACTTGTCCTTTGAATTTTGAAATTCATGTTGCCTGGGCATAATGTTACGCCATGATAATGACTCAAAAAATTAAAATTGATTAAAAAAAGGTGTCGTAATTATAGGTAAGAACAGTTTATGATAATATTTTGTGCATACCTTTACACAAACGCGACTTTTTATTTTGCGAACATTTTTCTTCCTGTCTAAAATTACCTAAAATAATCTGATTATGCAGAAAAGGTGAGCATCACATCGATTCACAAATTTAGCTGAAAAGAAACTGTTACAATATTTCATCAAAATGGCCATACCTACGCGAATTTCGGAAAATTGTCGCCAACAAAGGCTTTCGACAATTCCCACATTAAACACACAAAAGTTTGAGAGCATACATATGATATCTCAATGTATATATGCAACTTTTACATGCAATTATTAAATTAAAGAATTGTCAATTTGTCAGATTGGAGTAATCAAATAATAATCTAATAAAATTCTAAACTAAGGATGATTTTGAAATTGAAAAAAAGTTCGCACTGAATCATTGTATAGCCAAATTAGCGTTTGGAGAATTGAACTGAACTGCTCCGCAGAAACAAATTAATTAAGGAGAAATTCGAATTTGTATAAGGTATGAAGGTAGTACGATATAATAATAATATAATAATAACCGAACAAGCTCCGGGAGGAAAATCAGAAAATTCTGCATGTATACTTGTACTAAACGCACTTGTGTAATATTCCCCCACATTATTATCTTGTATTTCAGGACTATTCATGGTGAATATTATTTGTACTAATGTTTATTACATGCTGCCAATGGAATAGGACATCAACGTATAAATAGGCCATTTTAATTTATTGTATAATATTTTAGTTCATCGACTGAAACAATGCGAAGTAAAATCCGCACTCCGAACAATTAGATTTCCAAAAATAAAGCACAACGACTTACCTTCTGTTACAGGAGAAACTTCAAGAGCTGTAGTTCACCAATCCAAACTCTTCTCAAAATATTCCATACTCTTCTAAACAAATAGCACTAATTTTTGAAAATCTTCACAGAAAAACACCTTGCAATGTACTGTATTGCACACGTTAATCTGCAATTCCGAACAGCGATTAACCAGTCATTTCTAGATCAATTTACAGAAAGAAAGCAAAAAAACTGTTTTTTATGCGGTTTTAAACCCGCTCTCTCCCCACCAGTGCGTAGATATGTTGGGATTATTCTAAATGTTTACAAATGTGTTGACGAAAAATAAATCGATCGCTTGAAGTGTAATTGTCCAGCAATGCATTGCGCACGGCAAATAAATAATACAGTGTGAACCTAAAGTGTGGAAAATGTTAAATAAAGCCTATACAGTTGAACGAAAAAAATGCTCGGACACATATACAAAGTATGATAATATTATTTACTTCTTTTTTTTCTTCTTTCTTTGAGTTCCACTTGACGCACGATTTTAGTTTGAAATGCAATAAAAATGCAACCAAAGCCTATCAACTGCTACACTTAGTACTTATCACGATTATTGTAACGCAAAGTCAACTTGTTCACCCTTCCTACAATTAACTAATTAAAGAACCGAGCAAAATATCGCTTTCTAAAGAAAATTTTAAGAACCCAAGAAATATGTTTGGCTATTTGAAATTGTTATGTGACATATGAGAGCATTAATCGTCCTACATCCAGCTCGACCTTTCAAATAGCAGCCTAAAATACTCAGGTTGCGATTATAAAAAAATCGAAGTACGACGTCATTTGTAAACACATTAATTACTGCATGAGAAATAACTTTCTCGGAAGTTACGTATTAACAAATTAAGCTTGAAGTGTCCGATCATTTTTTTTAACTTCATCTGTATAGGCTTTAATTAATTTCTTCCATACTTTACGATCACACTGCATAAAACCTTTAACGAAATATATACAAGAGGTTTCTTTAAATTCTTCGAGAGAATATTAATAGTTATATAATTTTTTTAAAGTAATTACCTACTCATACAGCCAGCGGCAATGTTATTATTTAAAAACAAGGTGTCTATTTTTCGAAAAATTGCTCGAACCCGTGAATTTTTGTTTCAAATTGCGCATTTTCTGAACTAGTTTGTATTTATAGAGGGTGTCATAAAAAAGTGATGATATAACCAGAGCCAGTTTTTAAAAGAGAAACCCCTCTTGTACGTCATTATCCAGTTGTCCACAAAATTCTAATAATTTTTTATGCAGCATTTGGCGACAAAAAGCCAATAGAGTGACATCCGAAGTCTCATGAGCGCACCTTTGGCTAACTTTTTCTGGGATTATTTAAACTTCAAGGTTTATGTAAATCGGCTGGAAACATTGAAAGCTCACAAACCAAAATTAGGCAGAAAATTACGATAATATTAGTGGAAACGTAGTTAATAATGTTCAAGATTAGGTTGTACGTAAGCTTGGGCATTGCGAAGAAACCAATGGCTGTCAATTTTGGCGCTAATTTAACTCTGTCAGCCTTAATTTTAATTAGTTTATAAATTTGGGTGGCAATTTTTCGTACGATTTTCAGACGCCAATTTCCCGGAAACCCACATAAAAAATGATTAAGTTCTCCAGAGAACTGAATAAAATTACAAAAAAGAGAGGTTTCTATTTTAAAAAGTTGGCATTGATATAACTTTTTTGGGGCATCCTGTATAAATACAAATTCTTTCATAAAATTAAAAAAAAATAATAAAAGTGTGTGTACTTTTTGAAAAACTTAATTGTTTCAAATTACTTTTTTTTAGACGTCAAGTATTTTAGACAAAATGGATTTTAGACAAAAGGGATTATTTAAAATTAATTTATAAATTTATGTAATAAATTACCTACGATTTTATGAAAACACTAATAATATTTTGCATTATTTTCACGCAGAGCTCAATTAATAAAACAATATGGAATAGTGGTAGCTTTTATGGCTACCCACAGTGGACTTACCAGATGGCAAACTTTTCCGCAAAACATAGACAACACTATCTATGAAAGGTACAAACTACGACTCAATTGCACGTAATTTCTATACTGCATTTTGCGAATAAATAAAAGATGAAAGAACGGCAAAAATATTAAATCGTTGCTACAAAACTATACCAAAATTATTGTAGAGTTCTTCCAAAGTGAGTTTAAAATCAATTTAGCACACATCGATGGCACGCTTTACGGTAAGGAAAATTAACTGTAGCTGTATGCTTGGCAAGGTTCTACAGAATGATGAAAAAATCAGTACAAATAGTGGGCTTACAGCTAAAACTGACAAAGTATGAAATATCCATTTTTGGTAAATGTACTTTTAAACCGATCCAGAAATTATATCATAATTCTTCTGGAAACTTGGTCATTAAAGACATATTTTAGTCCACCTGTTTGTGAGGCCTTGGAGTATTTCTTCAGTTTTTGAAGACAAATATATCATTTTTTTAAATTGCTTGATCAACAAACACAAATACGGCAATGTTTTAAAGGTGTACTTTTTTATGCGGCTCAAAAGTTTTACATTTGAAACGAGAAACAAGAAAAAACACAGTTTATTAACTTGGAACTCTAGATATGCATCAAATTTCATAAAAATTTGCTCCTCTTTTTTTGAATTTCCTTTCCTAAAAGCAGATAAATTTTATTTTTGGAGCTCTTTAGAGAAGTCAATCTCTGCGATGGTAAAAAATGTTACTTGCGGGAGATATTTTAAAATTCACATGCACAATGTTGACTATTAAATCAAGAAAATATTGTAGTCTAGTCTGATATCTTGAGCTTTTCTGTTATAACCAACCGTGTGCTCCTTAATCTGATATTTTATTATAATTATTTGATATTTTTTTTATCAAGTGCATTTGATGTTTAATAAAAAAACGATAGTTTTGATTAATTGAATGCATTTCAATATTATTATTATTATGCTAACTGTTGAATCAAATAATTTTCTTTATAAAAACGATAATTTAAAATTTCTGAAGACTATTTTTTTTATTCTGACACCATCATCCTCAGCCTTGCCCTCAATTATTCATTTGAACATTTAGCTTTCCCTTAGTTTCTAAAAAGCAATTTTCTATAACTTCTAAAAAACTAAATAACTTCTAAAAAACAATTTTCTGATACAAATTTCTATGTGTGTAGTTTGGGGAATTTTTGAATACAAGTTTATATGAAAGAATTACGTTTACCTATAAATTATGACCGTAAAATACTTGTAGTGATCATAGTAGTGATATTTTTAATAACTATTTGAATATTTATCCAAAGTATTTTTTTCAATGATATTCTGGAGACTATTTGACGAAGAAGAAAATCTTCACAATGATATAACGAATTCGATTGAATGAGAGTAATAACTTCTAAACTAGCAAATTTCAGTAATGAGTAAATCCGTAAAGAATGCAGCAGGTTTATAGAATTATTAAAGAATGTGACATATTATGCCTTCGAGCATGTTTCGAGTCCTTATAAGAATTTCGTGCATCCGAAGAATTGTGCTTATTACGGAAAATATTCAAATGAATAACATGAGTCGCTTTTATTCAGTTCTAGTCTCCAAAAGGTTCTGAAAATAGAAATGTTTATTGATATAACTAAGTCTTTGAAATAGATAGCTTCGTTTTACCTGCTCCATGCTCATGATATTCCTGGCTCAAGATATATAAAAACGTATATTATACTGGACAATTTTATAAAAGCACAACTTTTTAAAAATGTCTAATCTTGTGTGAACCGTGAACCTACGTGAGTATTCGTTAAATAAATTATGAAATTATTTGTTTAAAACTGATTGGCATTAATTAGAAACAGCAAATATACAGATGTTCAAAACTACATGTTCCAGTTACTAATAGTCCCATTTTTGTGATCAGATAATGCTTGTTGCAAAGCACTCCGGTAGAATAAAAACTTATCAACATTGTAATAGAATTAATAAGATTTTAAAATAAATAATTCAAAATGTGGATTGTGGCGCATCAAACCATATTGCAAAAATATTATATTTTAGTTTATTTTCTACTGGCTTTCACTTTACAAGTTTCCTATGGGTTTGAATTTTTTCAGAATTTTTGAATTCCTTTTATTTTTACAATAACACAACATAAATGGAAATGAATGAATGGAAATGAATGGAAAAACAAGAAATCTTTCAAAACGTTTGTCGTTATTTCTGAAATGTTTTATATAAAATAAAAAATACCACATCCCCACAAAATACGCATGACTTAGATAATGTTAAATGATTTCCAAAAATTTTCAAATATTTTCCCAAGGTTTCGAACATGTAAATTGAGTCCAAGCGAGTAATTTTCTTGTCACTTAACAAATAGGTATGTATGTACAATTAAACATATAATATATGTGAACCAAATTTCCATTTACAATGTATAAGTTATCATAATAAAGCAGCAAAACAGTAAAATTATCTAAGCACGTTTATAAAACGACCTTTTCGTATCGGGCAGAATTTAATTTTCATCTTGATGTCATTTTAATCTCACTTTGGTATAACTATACACAAGTAATTAACCGATCAATTTCTAGCAAAAGTACTGTAGATATTAATTGCTGCGTATTGCTTCGTAGCATTTATGCTCTTGGTTCGCAAAGAAAAACCTGTGATCCAAATAGACGAAAATATTTAATGGTTGACATCAATAATCTTATCTTATGTCCCATAGACATTTCCATCACGTACACAATAGGGCAATTGATGAAGTTTGGTACAAAAGAGCTGTAGAACATTCATACGTAGATGCTGGCGCCTATGTTTATTCAGTTCCTCATGAAGCTGGTAAGCTACATACAGGGTGGCTTTTTTAGTGCCAGAGAGTCCATTATTTCCGTTGGTGTTGAACTTTCGAAAAATAGTTTCATATAAAAGTTGTTGACGCACTAAGTGCGCACATTTTAAAATATTTCATATGATACGGATTATCTCAGAAAGGCCAGGCAAGATCAAAGTGTATTTATTTTAAATATAACTACCCATTTTTCATTAGCTCATGGAATGCAGATTGAAACGCTGCATATGCACCTTAAATTGTTTTATCTTACTTGCGACGTTGGCAGATTGCCACCATTTCAGCAAAATTTCGCTTAAAAACATGGTATCTAAAAATTCATTGTAGAACCAAAAAAAGCACTTGAAAATGCAAAAAATTACGTCTTTCCAATCATCATTATCATTTATAAAACGTCGCTCTTTTCTTCATTGATTATGTCAAGTGTCATCAAATTTTGAAACTTATTGAATATTGAATATATTGAATTTCATAGCCACCTTACAAAATGTAACAACTTTTTGAAATTTTTAAATAAAATTAATTATAATTTGAAAACGGTTGATTTCACAGCTTAAAGTGTAAATGCAAATTTATAACTTTGTAAATTTTTAATCTAATGACGTATTAATATACAGGTACTTCCATTTGAAAAACAAAAGTTATATTGAGTTAAAAAGTTTTGGATTTAAGTCCACATTGTTAACACCCTGTACAATGTATTGATATTTTGATTCAATAGAATTCTTAACGGATCTGTGGTGATTGGAAAGACGTATTTTTTGAATCTTTAACTGCTTTTTCTTGCTTCTACAATTAATTTGTATATACCATGTTTTTAAGCAAAATTTCACTAAAATGGCGATAATCTCCCAACGTCGCAAGTAAGAAAAAAACAATTTACGGTGCATGTGCAGCGTTTCAAGCTGCATTCCATGAGCTAATGAAAAATGGGTAGTTCTATTTAAAAAAAAAATACACTTTGATCTTGCTTTTCTGAGCCACTCTGTATCATAAAATATTATGATATAATATTAAATGTGCGCACGTTGTGCGTCAACAACTTTTATATGAAACTATTTTTCGAAAGTTCAACATCAACGGAAATAATGGACCCTCTCGCACTAACAAACCACCCTGTATATGAAGTGAAAACAAACTAAATGTCGAATTACTTCATAATCACACTGCTAATGTTATTTACTTTAGGTGATGCGAACAATACGTTGGTAACTGTTAGTGCTGGAATTTTCAAAGAAGACGGTGGAAAAAGAGCTCCAGTTGCCGTTGTGGGCTATCAGTTCTATCATTCGTCTTTACACAGCATTTTTAGGAAAACAACTATCAGTGTAAGTTGCTAATAAAACACAAAAAAACAGCACCAATCAACGATCTACAGGTCTAAAAATAAGGTCCGGCAAACGAAATATTTCGCTAGATATAGACGAATCAGCGTTTGGAAAAATTACCCAAACGTTCACTCTTCAAGTGAAATAACACTTCATGATCAATCAAGCCAGCCACTTGCAGCTGATATCAAATTCACAGATCTTTAAAAAATCAATGTATTACTGTCGATCGGGGCGAAGTCGGACGATTTTTTCAGTGTTTTCTTAATAAAAAGTACAATTTTGTCTTCCGTGCCTCCTTTCTCGAATTCGATAATAAAACCACTGCAGTTTTCATTCGCCCTTAATTTTTTTTTAGATAAAGGGTGTCCGAATTCACCCCTGTATGGGGTAAAGGCGGACGACCTTTTATTAAGAGTTAAAAATGGTCTTAGCACCTTGTAAGAGGCATATTCTTATTCTTATTAAGTTTCTCTTCTTGTTGTGAATACCATGTTTCATAGTATTTATTCGTATTTTCTTATCGCGTAAGGTGGATTTTGGAATTTTATAATTTTTACGAGCCCTTTTTCTTCATTGTAGTTCGTAAAATTAATAAGAGCTATTTTATTTTTATACTGCCGAACCATGGTGTCCTTCACCTCTATTAAATGACTTTTTTTACTAAAACCCAATTATTTAAGGCCAAAATTAGTATATTCCGCTACAAGAGACGGAAGTTGCAGTACCTTATAAAATTTACCATTTTTCTTAATCCTCGGTGGAAACTAGCCGGGTAGATCTGGGTAACTCAGTAAATTTTTAGGAGTTGGACCAGTGCTGCGCAACACCCGGCACAGCAACCCAGTTGCATTGCTAGGAAAATGTTGATGACTTTTTTTAGTTGTTTTTACATTTATTAATATTGTTCAAGTTTCTTCAAATTTCAGAATTTTCCAGTTTTAGCAAAAATTCTTGTAAACGCTCAATTTCCTAAAGTTTTACTTAAAAATACTGACAATTTTATAGTAAAGCACTTTGTAAAAAGTTTTGAATTCCTTTTCCAGCTTCGAATTTGGGACATAAATCAAATTAAAATATAATCACACAAAGACAAATTATTTGGAAAACTCGACACTCCTATTCAACTGAAGGCCGCAAAGTTTGTTAAAAACTCTGTTTTTTTCAGTTTTGACAGAAATTTTTCTTGGCGTTATTTTCCACTCAAAAACGATCTATTTTGTAGTTTCACTTACAATTACCGACAATCTGGAGGTTTTTTACGCGAAAAATTACAAGATAAATTTATAACTTTGTAGAAATTTTACAAAAACTATTTCCAGCGTCGAATTGGAGACGAAAACGAAAATTAATTTCTTCCGTTTTTTCCGGAAAACATTAAGGTTTTCGCAAAAACCGATCACAAAACTGAAAGTGTTCAACGAAACGCGTCAACAAAACCGTTATTTTCTGCTACTTTCTGAAAATCATGGGGTCTTTAGCAAAAAAATACAAAATTAATGCTGTTAGAACATTCGCCTCATTAATTGCTTTGCGGGGAATTTTAGAAAACTCTTATCAGCTTCGAATTTCGCACAAAAAGCAAATAATTTTATTTAGTTTGGGTAGCGAAAGTAATTACGATTATCTTGAAAAAACAACTAGAGGCCAAAAGTTTCCAAAAATTATTTGAAAAATTCGCCACGTTTCGTGGCAAAAACAAAGTTTTTGCTAAGCAATTCTTTCTAGGCAAAAAACGCATTATTTTGTAGTTTTACTTAATAATACTGACAATATTCACGTATTTTTTGTGAAAAATTATGAATGAAATTTTATTGAAAAAGCGCCTCCTTAACCGCTTTGTAAAAATTTTTCGAAAACCTTTTGCAGCTTCGAATTTTGGACAAAACCCTAATCATTTTTTTAAGTTTTTTTCCAAAAAATATTTCTCCGAACAGAACAAGCGAAACGTTATAATAATAAAACCTTATTTTCAAACAATCGTTTCTACAGAAAAGGTCACAGTAMATTTTTAGGAGTTAGCGCAATGCTGCACTAACSTAACGCACGGGCGCAGTAACTCAGTTTCGTTGCTGGGAAARAGTTGATRAAATTTTCTTTTTTMTAGTTGCTTGGASAAAGTGGTAAAACATTGCACATAAAAAATGTTGTGGATCTTTTTTTAGATGTTAAAATTCCAGTCTCGGGTCTCGTAAAGGTTTAATCCGCTTTAATTAATGGCTTATAACTCATTAGGTTWGAGARCGGGAACAACTAAAAAGCGCAATTCAACACAGTGTTATGGCCTAATGCCGGGAAAAGTAYAAGGTTTTGAATAAAAAAAGCCTTTGTTTTTCAAAAAACTGTTTTGGCAACATTTATTCCTATTTGTTATGTAAAATAGGATCTTGTCAGATTTTAAATCCGTTCTCAAGAAAAAGACGCTTGTATTTTAAACTTAATGTTTAAACAATTTACCCTTCATTAATCAACTGTTCCTTTATTGTATAGACCCTCAGAGAAGTTGATCGGACGGCTCAAAAAAACTGACCAGAGCCGTTATTTAATAACAAATAGGAATGAACAAGAAGTCTATAAATATGTTTAGCTAAAATGTATACCACTTATAAAGTGTACCTCCAAAAACAGTTATAGTACGATTTTTTGAAGCAAAACTAAATTAATTTACATAAAAAAAAACGCTAAAATCGGCGGTTTTCCCGTTTTTTGAGTCTTTTATATTGTAGGTATTTTTAATACCTGCAGAAAGTATTAAATTTTTGAATATCATGAACGGTTCAATAAAAGTTATAAGAGTACGATTTATTGAAGCAAAGGTAAATTAATTTAAAAACGGTAAAATCGGGGTTTTTTTGTGTAAACAGGTAAACAGGGATTTTAACAGGTAAATAAGGAAACAGGGATTTTAATTTAGTTTGTCTTTTATGTTGTAGGTATTCTTAATACTTAAAAAAAGGGATTACATTTTTCAATAGTATGAACGGTTCAAAAGTTATGCGCAAAAAACGGTTTTATGCACTCTCTAATTATTTAAACAATGCTCCACAGCCGGAAATCGTGCTCAAACTATTGTCCTTGATTGAAAGAGTATATAGGCAGGTTACCTTGAAAAACATTGCTGCCGTATTTCTGATATAGTTTTTTGCAAATTTCTAAGTTTTTAATAACAATTAATTTATTTTACTATTTTTTTACATTTCTTTCTAACCAGCGCCAGACAACCTCTAGAGGAATGACGCCAATTTTGAATCACCCTTTATACTCTTTCAATCAACGCTATTGTCCCAATATTCTGAGCTACATCCAATAATATTTTACCTTCATCTATTTAAGTAGTGCCCAAAACAAACCTTTTAAAGTCTAATCTGACTGGACTAACTTCTTTACGCGGTGCATCAAATGATCTTGACCAAAATATTGGACAATAACGAGTTCGCCCCTACAGTACGACTTACCCCGAATGACCGGTACCCATTATTGAAAAATCACTTTAAAAAATTCACTCGAATAACAATAATCTAATAATTTATCATTTAAAAGTGCGGTGATATGCAAAAAGCCTGCAAAAAGACTTGCGAATCTGAAGAACTTCACTGCTTGCTATTGGATGATAATGGCTATGTCATCGTTAGCGACAACGTCCAACAGACCGGTCATTTCTTTGGGAAAATTCGACCAGATGTTATGAGCCAACTGATCGATGAGGGCATTTATCAAGCCCATCGGATGTTTGACTATCAGGGCTTATGCCCTGAAGGGCAGGACTCTGGAAGTGTCGCTTCAAAATTACTCACTGTATGTGTTCATACAGTGAATTACGCAATTCTGCTATTCTAAATTATTTTATCTTCAGCCGTTCTGGTACTTAATGGGAATTCTCGAATGGGCAGTTTCAACACTCAGTTTATTTGCCGAAGCCGCTACCGGTAATATATACTACAATCCGCCATCGAACCAGCCAAACAATAACCAATTCGATGAGCCTGCAGATCATAACGACCACACTATTGTATCGGATCATGAAGAAGAATCAGAGTCAAACGACTCCGACTATGAACCAGAAGGTAATTACGCATAACATACAGATGGGTTTTTAAATCAAGTTTCATCTAGGGCTTAATGATAAAGCATTCGACGAGACCGCAACTATGCAAAAAACCAAACCAGAGCCCTGCGACAATGAATTATATCTTTACACTTTAGTTCATTACAGCGCCAGAGACGAATCAAGTAGCGGATACAACAAAACAATGGGAAATTGCTCAAGGTAAACGATTAAGGATGTAATTGTAATAGATGTTACAAATGGAAGTAATTTGAGAAATAATTTGCTGTCAATCTACAGGCCATTTATTGTTCAACGCGTGAGTGGAAGCAACATGATTCTCCTAGTGATCAACAACTTATGTCAAGAACAAAATGATATGTTTCCTCCATCTCCCGATCCTCAACAGATCGATTATAATATGAGTCTGCCTTGTTTTATGAACCAAGAGAATTTGCCTAGGAGGTTCTATATGAGCTGCATTAGCCGCTCGGCAAATGTAAGTAATTGGAAAAGTAGTTGATTAACAATATGATTATAATTCGGAGTTTGATTTGCAGGAAAGCGAGATTAAACTATGCGGTTCAGGGTCCAACATATCATCAAAATACGTCGTACCTTTAGTAATGGGTTTTTATTTCTTAATCCGAATCATCCATTACATAGTTTAAGTAGCTAGCTCAATTATGCTAATTATTTCCAACGTTATATGTTAATCTGTGATATCAAAATTAACAATTGCAACTTTTCTCTTGCGCCAATTTACCGCTGATATAAAAAACTGAACAACTAAAGTTGCAAATTATTAGGCGTTAAACAATATACATATGATGTATGTTCGATATTAAAATTTATTTAATTGTTTTTGTTATTGTTCATATCATTATAGAAGTATTTATAAATTGTCTATTTATTGATTCATAATTGTGATGATGTATTATTACCCCTAAGTTTCCATATAGTGCATATAATTTTTACGCAATAAAAATTGTTGATTTTTTATAGCGTGTTTTTCTAATCAAATAGTTTCTGTAGTAATAACAGGTTGAGTCCATATTAACATTCCTCCGACATGGTTATCTTGTATTTAGAAGCTGGTACGCATCTCTAATAATAACCGACAGAAGTTACGAGAAAAATCAGAAAATTATACATTTATACTTGTTCTGAACGCACTTGTGTAATATTCCTGCGATATAATTATCTTGTATTTCAGGACTATTTATAATAAATATTATTTGTATTCATGTATATTACAAGCTGCCAAAGGAATACGACATCAACGATATTGTATAACATTTTAGTTCATCTACTTGAACAATGTCAAGAAAAATCCGCACACTAAACAATTAGATTACCAAAAAGCGCAAAACAGGCAGTTTTGCTTACAGAATCAACGACTTACCTTCTGTTTTGATGAAACTTTGATAGTAGTAATACGAGTACAAATACTTTAAACAAATAACTGTAAAAGTACCAACCAATCCAAGTTATCCTTACATTATTCCATATTTTTCTAAACAAATAGCACTCATTTTTGAAAATGTTCACAGAAAATCACCCTGCACTATACTGGATCACACGCGTTAAACTGCAATTCCGAACAGCGATTAACACAAACCAGTAATTTCTAGATCAATTTATCGAAAGCTGCAAAAAGAACTGTTTGTTTAGATGTTGGGATATATTCTAAATGTTTACATATTGGTTGACAAAAAATAATTCGATCCCTTGAAGTGTAATTGTCCAGCAATGCATTGCGCACGGCCAATAAATAATACAGTGTGAACTTAAAGTGTGGAAATTTTAAATAAAGCCTATACAAATGAAAGAAAAAAATGCTCGGACACGTCAAACTTATTTTTTATTGGAATGAATTAAAAATTGCCATTTTCCAAACAGAAGCGATGACCATAAAGAAGCACTTTTCTTTAGTATTCATTTGTGTTATGTGTACGCACGGGCGAAGAAAAAGATGCGTGCCAATTCAATGTTTATTTCATTTAATTCGCCAATTTAATGTTTATTTCATTTAATTCGCAACAAAGCATTTTCAGATTGCAATATATCCCGAGATGGAACGATATATTTACCTTACGTGAAAATAACACACTATTACAATATAAGTCACGTGATAATAAAAAAATAGTTTATATAAACTTATTACTAAAATCGATATCTAAAGGATAAAAAAATAGGAATATGTTCGCTTAAATAGATATGATATTCTGGAACCCTTGTCAACGTCTCCTGAATGAATGGATTCGAATAATATCATGTTTAACATTTTTGCCAGCTGCATAAACACCCAAGAAAACTCCTGGAGTACGCAATATAAAGTAAATTGAAATTCTCAAAAAAGTGAAGACGTCACATATATAGAACAAGGATAACAAACAAAATATATGATCTGAGCAAAATAAAACAAAAAGGAAAAGGCAATACATCGGATAAATATGTAGTCGACAGCATACTTGGGTAACTTGCTCCAATCATTTAAGAACATACGTTTGTAATTCTTTACTTTGCTAATTAAACTTCACTTTTGATGTCTACAATAATCTCAATAGTTTAACGCAATGAATTACAAAATAACTGTATGCTATAAAGTATGGAGTGGAAAGGTTAAACGACTTACGAAATATATTGCCCGCCACACTTATTGTTGAGTTTGCATTTTGGCTTGCAGTTGCGCTATCATCTCTTGCATTCTCTTCAATTCAGCTTCTTTCTCTTGCAATATTCTATCTTTTTCGGCAGCGACTGGTGATTTATCATCAATAATACTGAAACGGAAAAATATCAAAATTAGTAGTTCCAGTTTCCGCAATTTATTAGTATGAATTTACTAGAAGCCCAAAAAACAATACATACGTGTTTCTCTTAGGCACTTGTCCTCCTTTTGCCAACTTCTCACTTCTGTAGTTCTCATAGTGTTCCCTTTGCGTGATATCCTGTAGATCTTGCATGTGCGTGATCATCATTGCTCTAAGTTTGATAAAATCACAGTGTTCTGGATTTTCTACTTCAACTACGCCCCATGGATACAGTCTTCCTCGAACCTAAAATAAATAAAAAAGAACCGTTTATTGTACATTGGCAGGCAATATGTGCGAATGACCGTTACAGTCTTTTCACAAAATCAAATTTTTGTGGTTTAAAATGTACTTACTTTGCGTCCCTTCACTTCTAGCATGGTGGTAGCACCACAAACTGCAAATGGCATTGCCTGTTTCAACTGGCGGACCTGAAAACAAATATAAAAATCTAATGTATTCTAAATGGTATTTTAGAGCATCTTGATAAACAATAAATGCCCCGTCTTTATACCTGTTCTTTATATTCTTCGTCGTCTTCATCAGAATCATACTCAGGCAACGAAAAAATCTTGATTCCGTTTTCGGCAATCTCATCTAACACTCTCTTTTTCAATTTTTGCATCTCCCTCTTCGTTAAAACATCGGCTTTGGCAATTACAGGAACTATGTTTACTTTATTGTGCAGCTGTTTCATAAATTCGATATCTAAAGGCTTTAGCCTGAAAATAAAGATAATATATTGTTGTGTGTGTTTAGCTTAATTAAGTGGGACTGGAAATACCTATTGTATTTTTTACAATAAACAACATTTAAAATAACATTTCAAATGCAGTGTTATTTTCTTGCCATAGTGATTAGTCCATCGAATTTGTACAGAATTACAGTCACTTATGCCCATTATTCTTTTAAAATAAGACGTAGTATCGTTTCTACTATAATCAGCATGACTTAAGTATTAAAGAAGCCACAGCAGAAACGAGCATTTAGTCAATAAGATTTTAAGTTTCAAGAAGTTAGTCATAAGAAATCTGGTCAGAAGTCAGTCTTAAGATAGTATCGGTCACAATCCTCAGAAGTCATAAGTCATAGTTAGGTTCTATTGCATGTAAAATTTGCATTAATTTGGAATAAAACTGTTTTTAAAAACGAATGTTTCAAATTAATCAATAAAATTACAGCCATGCTTAAATTTCTAAACACGCTTGAACATTAAAAGAAAATATTCTGTACTCTCTACAGATACAGTAATAGCTCTCTTTTTTAATGTAAAATTGTAGGACATTTCAAATAATCTTACTTTTTGTACTTGATCATTTCTGTAGTCTGTACGTTGAAACAATTGACAAAAACGCTAACCAACAATGTTTCCTTCTTCTATTTTATTTAACAATCAACTATTTATGCTGTTATTTCTTTATATCATTAATCAGACAATTTCATAATTTTATTTACTTTAATCAAACTCGCTTTTGTTGGCAAATTTTATCAGTGAATTCAGCAGAATTCCTATCGTCATTAATAGTTCATTGCTTTTATTTACGTCGCTCCGATTTTCTATTATACTAATTTCGCATGTGCTTGATATTGATTTTGACTGCCCCTATTTAATCCATTACACCATATGATATCAAGTTTAGCATCCTAATTACACCCGTTTAATTGATAGGTGTATTAGTAATTCAACTCCATTGACAAAAACTTGTAAGTAATAAGCCATATATAGTTACAACCGATTAGAAATCGGATATTCATTCAAATGACTAATCCCTATTAAGTAAATGGGTTCAAACACCTTAATATTCCGCTACCATTGCACGTACGATATCAGAGTAATTGGTGTTGGAGTGCATAATAATTGAATACCTACTATCACAGATTGATTGATTAAATATGGAATATTACATGGAATTTTAAACGGGTTTAATTCTGATTTTTCAAATAACGCTCCTGGTAAGTTTAATAGTGCCCTGACAAATTGCCGCCCTAACGTACTTACCCATGTCCGAATGGCGATATGAAATAGAAACAGCAATGCACTCTGTTATCGACAATATTCTTCCTATTGAGCCCACTCTCGTCCCTGAGAAATCGCTCAAATTGGTCATCGATGTATCTGATAATTTCAGAAAAGGAATCGGTATTATCAATTGCATCACCATAACCAGGTGTATCCACCACTGTCAGTCTCAATTTGATTCCTCTCTCTTCAATTTCAACAGTTGTTGGTTCAAGTTTCACAGTTTTCTTCAGCTTTTCTGCAAAAAAAGTGAACTTATGAAGCTGAATTTCGAATCGATTGATAAACGTGAAATGAAATACAAAAAAAATGACTTCATAATATTACGTATATTATACAAAACGGCTAGTAAAATAATACTTGATTCAAAATATACCTACAAATGAAGATTAATACTAAACGCTAACAGCCAAATTTTACTATATAAAAAAAGCGAAAAATAAATGTTGCTCACTGGAGTACCTACAGAGCTTAAAATTAAGTAGTTTGAAAATGTTGCATAGGAAGATGTGTTTAAAACCTTAAGCAGGTATATTATAGATCTACGTGTTGAAGTTTTCTCAAAGCAATTAACTTTGGAAGATAAAATTAATTAAACGTTAAAGTCAAATGGTAGGACTAAAATTGTATCAAAAGAATAAATTTCACAATATGAGGAAGTATAGGAGTTCAAACACTTAATTTTAATTGTTCTTTAATGAACATATACTGGTTACTACAATAAATCGTCTTTGTTGCGAAAGGCACAATTTAAATATTATGATGATAAGCAAGTGAAACAATTTTTTATATAAAATGCAATCACATTCATGACTTTATTTTGTTTACGGCAGCCTGTAAAAATATCTAATTTGGAAACTTGGCAGACCAATAGATCTCATAATATTAACTTACGTGTTGAAATAGTGAAAAATTAGTCCGAATGAGCATAAACTGACATCGTATTAATGTATAGTTGAGATAACACATGGGTAAGTCTATATACAAACAGCTGGATTTAATTGAATTGAAAGAGCTAAGAACAGTTTTTGCTAAGATGAACAAACAGTAAGTGCTGTTATCTGTACATTTATTACAATATGATAATCCAATTTACCGCGCCTGACAGATCAACATTTTGCGGAAAATAATGGAAATTAAACTGCAATAACTGATGAAAATGTAAAGGAATCCAAGCCGGCATTAGTCAGTTGCTAGACAAACTTAGAACACTAATCCGACTTTGGAATGCAGCCATTGCTGTGTGTTTATATTACAGAAAGCAATAACCTGGCCAGATGTTATGTGTAGATAAGTATGTGTAAAAGATTTCATTCAGGGCTTGACATTGTGTTGTATATGGTCAATAACATTCTGATCGTTCTTCTGCTTTGTGGTATTTACGGCATTTGATCTATATAAGTACCTACTTCGGCTAGCCATTATAAAGTACTCAGTGAGTAACACTTATATGGAATATAGCATTTCATTGATAATCATTGGGGTCTATGGGAATAACTATCTATTGTTGAATGAAATAGTTTAAATAGATCTTCCTTCTAATTATATTCAAAGCTGCTCAAGGGTGATATTAGGGGCTTCAACCCTTTCTGCCTTAGACGAAAATGTGGGCTTATTTTAGTGCTTACCAACCGCATCTGGAACGAGCTTTTCTGGATATAAATCAGCCAGAAATAGGGCATTGACCAAAGTCGATTTGCCCAGTCCGCTTTCGCCGACTACCATTAGGGTAAATTCGAAGCCTTTCTTCACCGACTTTCTGTGAACTTGATTTGGCAAATTCGCAAAACCTACATAGCCTGGGGCTTCGTTGCTTGCATACTAAAAGAAAACGACCATATGAATATTCGGCTAAATGACTTAAATTAGGGCGAATAGGATGCATTTACTGACTTAGAGGCATGCAAATCTCGTGCAATTTTCATATACCTACTTGTTTAGCTTTTAACGGAAACAAAGCCTTTACCCAAATAATATAAACAACAACAAATTAATGCCGCACAATACTTACGCTTCTCAGTGATTCGTTGGACATTGTGCAGTAATTCCAGTTACTTGAAGCCACCAAGACCGAAAACGATAACGGAAAACTGTTAAAACAAGAACTTTTTTAAAAAACTGGAGCCGATGACACATCCAACCACAACGACAAGGACACTGACAACAAAACAGCGACCATGTTTTGATAAATACAAAGCTGTTGTTCGATTGGCCAGACAGGCAATCTATAGAGGTCCAGCGTTGCCAGTGTGGTGCGTTTTACTTTATTTGGGCTTTTTAATGATAAAAAATTAATTTAATTTGATGCAGCTAGATGTAAATGGGAAAGTTTAATATTAAAGTAAGACAAATTTTCGCGACTAAAAAATACAAATCTAATTTCAGGTATAAAAAAAACGGACCTAATTCAATATTATTCGATAATGTGCAATGCAAAACCCATTACTAGGACAAACGAACTGAAATTATCAAAAATTATCTGTACTTTACTGCCTTATTTTTATGTTGAACTGAATTCAACTTACTACTTAAGATGAACAGCTTTTTCACAGTGACAACATCGCACCTCACAGTATTGGCAGCATTGCCAGACTTTGAAAGACTTTGCTAGTTAATCGTAAAATCTCTACGGAATTATGTGGGTATAATTTATATTATTCTTCTCAATCACGGAATTTTTGTATGGACCGAATTTAGTGCTTTGTAAATTTAAAGTAAACATTCAATCTTGGTTAATAAAAAAACTATAGCAACAAATGATAATATTGAAAAATACACAATACCTGTTTAATAAAAACTCGTGTATTTATTCATTATAATTTAGATAACTGTTACGTTAATCGATAAATATTTGAAATACGGCAGTTTTGAAGACAAATGTTAATTACGGACCGACTTTTTCGGACGGTTACGGACGGATGACGCACAGTTCGTAAATGAGAAATTGGTTTCAAAAATGCGATATAAAAATATCTAATAAAATAACATCGTACTGATAAAATTGAAATATATTGCTAACTTTAAATAAAAAACACATTTTTTTATCACCTAGACGGTATTCAACGACACAGTTTACTCAAGCTGAAAGAGAAAAATTAGTATAGTAAAGAAAGTGATTTAGAAAAAATGCCTCAGAGTTTCGTTAGCAATTTTGCTATATTTATCAAAACATACCTAAAAATCTTATTGAATACAAATCTGTAAATATTACCTCCATAGTTTGTACTTGTATTTCGCTTTTTACCAATGGTCAGATATATTTTTTGGTGTAATTTTTGTCTGTAATTAGAACGGTTGAAAAATTCTCGCAAAACTTATTAGGTTTGTAGGGTTTATTAATATCTGCGATATTTGCTGAGAATATTTTGAAGATGCATACTAAATATAGAAGAAAAACTTTTTGAGTCTGCCAGGCCAGTAACCTTGCGGGCTTAAGCCGATACAGACTTTGTTGAATCGGTTGCATTGTGAATCATTCTGTATAGACTATATGAGTTGAAAATGTTGTAAGAATATTTTCTAGAAATGAAGAAATACAGGATGATTCAAAATTGGCGCTCATTCCTCTGGAGATGTTGTCTGGCGGTGTTTTAGGAGTTCAGAAAAATTAGTGAAAATAACTAATGGTTATTAAAAACTGGGAAATTTGCAAAAAACTATATTAGAAAAACTGCAACAATATTTTTCAAGGTAATCTGTCTAATTAACATTACGTAAATACCTGTTGCTTCGTAATTATTTAAAACTCCGGTCACCATGGATAAATAGAGGAAGTAACAATAATCTAGTCTTATCTAGACCAGGATATATCTAATATTGTCTTATATAGACAAGAAGAAACGGTAAATTCAACAGAAATCGTTGAATGACGGAACGTATTTCGAAACTTATAATCTCGAATTATTAATTTGTTTACAAATTACAAAAACATACATTTGAATTTGTTACTCCRAAGAAGTGCCTGTGTAATCACCTTATTATGCACTCTTCTCGAGCAGCTTCTCGTATTCGGTTAATTAACTCCTGCTCAATTTATATCGGTGTTCARTAATCCATTGGTTWAATGTGATCTTACATACGTGGTAGGAATGTAGCCAGTATTTATTCGGTGCCTGGGAAAGTGTCAGTTGTGCAATGTTCTGAGTGCCCCTGAAAGGCTCTTCTGAAATTATGTCCAATACTTGATCATCTGTGTCTGGAACCCGAACATCTATTGCCGTCCACTATCTTCCTGRAACMACTYTCCTCGCCCTTTGTTGGCATGAGTTCTTTCAGCTTCTGCTATGTTACTGTAGCATTTCCCCTGAACTAATCGCATATCCGCAAATTTGTGAAAGGAAATTCAAAGCAAGGGCTATCCACGTGTAACTATCTGTTAATGCCAAAAAACATCATTGCCGCTTTGACTTTTCATCAAAAAATTGTAGAAGAAAACTTTTTTAATATCAAAAATTTTCGTAATTTAAAGCAAAGATCGTAATTTTTCTATTTGAATGCTTAAGTATTCCATTATGCTTCCAATTAAACATGCAACACTTTCAAAATAATGATTAATAACAAAGTTGAAATGTTGAAAAGTTGAAAAATCATTTATCAGTTGAAAAAAGTCGATTTTCAACTGATAATTTCTTCTAGAAATTGTCGGAAAAAAATGTAAATATTTTTCTCGTACTTTCCCAGTTAGCCCCTATTACCCCTTAAAAGGAATGACGCCAATTTTGAATCAGCCTGTATACAGTGTGTCCAGTATAAAATGATGTACATGGGGATATTGGAAACCGTTAGAGTTACAGACCAAATGGTTAAAAAGTTGCGCAATCAAGTGCCTATAAATAATCTGTCATCAACTTCTTTGAACTCGGAATAGCAACGGATATACAGGGAAAAAAAGAAAAAAGTGTGTTTTATAAAATCATTTATATCTTGCTTATTATAAAAGATACACTAACGAAATTTTCAGGGGGGGGGGGTAATAAATGAGCATGAATATGAAAATAAAGTAAAAAATAATCTAGACCCACTATGTTCATTGAGGCCGAAGTCAACTTTTGTTTTTCTTATGGGCGCCATATTGAATTTCTGCATTTTTAAATTCCCCTTTAAATATGCTCTTCAACCATGTATAGCATGTTTATGTTCGGTCAAGATAAATAATTAAAATTAACAAAATTAAGACTTATATGTACATAATTTTATACGGGACACACTGTATACATATTAATGAAATTTCAGGATCAAAGTTAAAAAACAATGGTAAACAACAATATTTTTTCTAATTTTCCGAATTCGGTTTCTTATTTTAAATGTTTCGTCTGTATTCACTCTTTCAAGCTCTTTCATTTGCGTAAAATAGTTATTTAACTTACTCGGCGATATACATATACGAGCAATAAATCAAGGAAACATCCATTTTACTTGAACGGAAATATCATTTGCAGATTTCTTGTCGTAAAACCACTTTTTGCAAATGTAAAAGTTATACTGTTTGGCAATTTATTTTTTAGTTTTTATATCTCACTTTTAAACACTAAAACTTTTATCTTTATCTCACTTTTAAACACTTAAATAAAAATATTTTAAATAACCCCCTATAATATAGAAACGTTTCATCATCCAAAACATACGGACTGAAATTGATATCCAGTCGATTTCTAAAATAGAGAAATTTTAATATGTTAGTACAGTTTTAATATAACACTAAAATAGTTTTTCCTTAAAAAATTGAAAAAAAATGTAGTATGGTAAATAAGTAAATGTGTAAAAGATGATTTTCTTAATGCTCATTTGCAATTTTCTAGCAATCACATGAATTTTTGATTGTATAACGATTCCAAATTTCCCTTCCAAAAATGTCCATAGCATTAAAAATGTAAATTAGTTCAAGAAAACCTAGAATGTCTTCATATTCAATATGATTATAAAGAAACTACTTCTTCACCTTTTTATTATGAGGTTATAATTAGTGCAAATGAACATTTATTTAGTTATAGGTAATAATTAATAAATTACTAGCCTAAATTCGTAATAAATGACAACTAATTCGGCTTTTTCAGTACAAAGAAAATACCTACCCAAATAAAAGGATTTTACTACCATTTTTTACTAATCGTCTTTTTATCGTCTTATTCAGTATCAGTTCAAATTTAAGCGATTCGAAAAATGATTAAATTAATGGAAAAACTACCTTACCTGTTGAATTTTATTAAGTTTGAAAAATTAAATTGATTATAACTTAGATTTGCTTCATTGTTAGTTAGATCAATAAGGTCCTTTAAGGACATTGAAAGGTAAAAAATATTGAATGGAGAAAGTGGCAGAGAATGTGTTAAGCATTCGAAATCCTTATCGAAAACTGTTCAGTCAATCCATTTTTCTCTATCTTTGATTCAAGCAGTTTTCAAAGCAGCATTCAAGCGAGAGAAGAAAATAATTGGAATAGCTGAAATCTGAACTGATTAAACTTTTATTCAGTGAGAAAATAGTTGCTCTATTATCAGGCAAATAAAATAAAGCTCTAAATACCGCACTAAATATTATTGCGAAAAATTCGAAATGTTCGATATTAAATTTTTTTGTATCAACTTGGAGCAAAACCGATTACATTCTTTAGCCCAAGTGGCGGCTTAAGAAAGTGTAAGAGCACCATTTAACTATCTTTGAAGTTCGTTTTAAAGAAACCATCATCATCAAGCTTGTTTTTTGAAAATCGGTCCGTTTTACTTACTGTTCCGGCGAATATTTTAGTTCAGTATGTATACAGTAAAACCAGAAATTTTAAATATCACCGCTTTAAAAGCACTATTATTCCTATGCAGGAAATAATTTCATTTAAATTGTTCGTTAAGATACTATACCTACTAATCCCGCCAATACCAATGGAAAAATTCTTAAGTCTGTTAAATCTTTGTCTGAAGGTCACGATTCCAGTCTCGAGTATCCAAGATTAATTACACGGACTCAAAGCTTAATTGCGCATTAATAAATGAGTTATAACTCATTAACTCCGAGAACTGGAACAACTCAAAAGCGCAACTCAACAAAGTGTTGCCCACTAGTTTATTTAGGACGCGCAAAAAGTAGTTAATAACGTATATAATGATAAGGACCCTGTTTATTACTATATAGCAAATAAAACCCACCACAAGTTTTAACAAATTTAATGAATTTGAACTAATGAGCTAATGACTGATTTTGTTAGTGGCTATTAAGGTATTAAGTTAAACAAGGACCTGAAATTAAATTATTGAAATAAATGAAGAAAACCCATTCAATTGAGAAGTCAGGTTTTTAACCCTTCTTCAGTAACGCGAAAGTTTCTTCCCTTTTTCCCTCCGTTATCCCATTTTCAACAACAGGCAACTGTCCATTATTGGCATCCTCTATTGCTTTCCTCAATTCCTTGACACCAACCACTCCAATCAATTTTCCTATTGCAGTTACGTATGCAGTGTTGAGATGCATCATGGAAAACAGAGAATGCACTTTTAAAAGCGACGTTTTCTCCACCAGCTGGAAAGGAGCAGGATCAATTTGGCTGGATCCTAAGTCAATTTCTTCACTCAATTGGTTTTGCTCCCAAGCGTCTTGTTCTTCCTTTGGTAGATCGCAAATTCTAATCACTCTGAGCTGCAATGATATTTAAAAGTTAAGTGCTTCGAGATGAATAAAAAATGTATAAATCAATAGGAAGCAGCTATGAAATACCTGTTTCTGAAAAATAAGTTTCTGGATATTTACTAAGTTGGGACGGTGCTGCAGATAAAATCAAACCGTACCCTACAGTGTTGTAAATTTAGAAGAAAAGTAGGCTAAAGTAGAGAAAAAGAATGAACCGAAATTTTCAATTGAATTGAACGTCCCTAAGATGGTCATGTGAATAGCAAAAACCAATTTTCTTAAATTCCAAAGGAGAAACGTTTGCGCCAACTAAGATCTAAAAAATAGATCCTATCGTGTTGTATGACCCTTTAAATATTGACCACTCAGGTCGGTTCTTATAATTGTTTTATTGTCAAATCCGGCTCAATCGAAAGACGGAGTTTCAGTTCTTTCTTAATTGTGTTTGCGTGAATGAAAAACATTTTTGTTTAAATACTCAAAATGTTATCACTGTGGATTTGGATTAATAGTGCAGAATGATGATGATAAATATCAGTTGTGGGTGAATTTTCTAGAAAAGAAATTGCCTCCATCATAGGAAAATGTGTCAGGTCATATAAAAAGAGTAAGATTCTCAGCATTTTTAACATAAATGCCAGACCGCGTTGGAAAAATATTTGTGGATCAGTCTGTGTTTTGAAAGAATTATTTTATGCCTCTCATTTCATATTCATATATAAATAACCGTCTTCACGAGTTAGTCGAGATAAAAGCGCACTTAAAATAACATCAACTTCGCATGTCGCCATTGAATACTTGAAACTTTTTAGCGGAATTTACAAGTGGAGTTTATTGGCCCCAGGTTCTAATTTTCATTTAATAAATAAACTCTCTTTAGGATTACATTTAGTTTTAAACTCACCCCCACTTTATAGCAAGATTTAGTTCACATTTTTCTCTTACCTTCTCTTTAACGTCATTTTTCTTTTTTATAGAACTGCCAGGAAATCCCATCATATTCAAGTTGTATTTGCTGAAAATTCTCTGTCTCAAAGCATCCTACAAGGACAATGATTCAAAACTGCAACTAATTAGCTTCAAACTTACTTCAGGCAACTTTTCTTCAAGCAGTTCATCGGCTATATTCTTCTCATTATTCGTGTCATCTTTATGTTTTATAACTTCCATTCGCCTGCCGAACCCAATTTGTCGTTCAATCAGCTCAATGAGCTCGTTTCTTGCAACACTTCCCAACAGGATCATGTTGCGAGCATTATCGACCAACGGAAAAACCCTAATTTGCTTGTTGGACTTAAGAATATTCTTCAATTCTTCATAGGTCATTCCCAGGTAAACAAATTTTACATCATGGACCATAAAGTCTTCAACGTATATTTGGTATATGGCTGCAAGTTAATAAGTCTCTACTTGAAGCATTTGGAAGTTGTTTTCAAAACATCAGTCTTACCACTACTGCTGGGCAGCAAGTCGGGTAAAAACGGCAAATTTCCAGCCTGTATAGCTAAATCGTATACGCTAGGAGTGAAAAATCGGGCAATTCCATTCGCAATTAAATTGGAAATCAAAACCGGTATTACGTGGCTTATTTGGGATGTCATTTCGAACATAATCACGCTGGTGGAAAGAGTGTGAGTTACAGCACCGCTCCATGCGACTGCACCCACTGTCGCATAAGCTCCCGGTAGAATTTTAGTAATTTTTCCTTTATATCGGACACCTAAATCAGATTGCATGGATAGTAACTGAACAACTTGTTGCGAAAAATCAAGGGCAGGTAGTTGGAAAAAAAATTAAAAATTTAAAAGTTTTCTACGTGGCTTAAGAATATTGATTCTATATCATCTCACCAAGTCCTTTGTTTATGTGGATTGTTATCAGAACGGTTTTAAGATCATTTTAAGCAGTTCTTTCAATTAAGTGCATTTATCCAATTTAAAATTAATTCAACATTATGTACCTATAATGGATAATGGAACTCGTTTTGTATGAGAATTTATTAGAAAGTCAACTTAAACCAGGGTGAAAATTTTCTAATTGATATAGATCTGCAAAAGCTTCGCTGTCGAACTACAAGGTTTTGGGATGTTAAGAAATGTTTGCCTTTTTATCCTTACGATTTATATGACTTTTTTGTAGTTCTCTCTAAATTAATATTGATACGTTTAGTTTCGCGCGGCCCTGACCAAATCATAAGAACTAATTAAATGTTTTGTTTGATTGGAAACTTTCCGTTTTTGGTAGTTTTATATCTATGGATCATTGAATTGAAAAACAAATTTCTAAAATTCTTAAAATGAGAAGAGTATTTTTAAAAACGTTTTACGGGTTCTAAAATAATCATTCACATAATCACGAAACAAATTTAAAACAGCACTGGAGCAACTTCAACACTCTAGTTGTTGTTCTTAATTATCACTAATCCCAAACGTTAAACTAAATGCGTTTTCGTCCTTGATCTTAGTTATTCTTTGTGCTTCTTATTTCAAAACTGTTCCATTTTGCTAGTGTAAGCTGGTGTATGATTTCTAAGACTCTTTAATTTTACCTTGAGGGAACCAAGTGGCCATTAGTTCGCCTCCAATACGTCCAAGAGCTGCCCCTGATCTAAAGTTGGGTATAAAAGTACCGCATGGAATTGGCATTGAAGCAGCCAAAATTGATGCTACAAACTTAAAAACAATATTGATAAGAACAGTGTGACAACCAATGAAAGTATGTTCATATTCAGTTGTGGCGTATCGTGTTAATTGTCTTACAAAATTAAGAATTGCATTCTGCGGCTTCGTAAGCAGAACATTTCCTTAATGTTAATTGTTAAGCTTAAAGTGATGTTATATCAACAAATAATGACGCTAATTTGTTTTTCAATATTATAATTTCCAGTCACGCAATATTTTCCAATATTTCACATCTGAATATAAGTACTGCGAATTACATATCTGAGCAAATAATAAATAAAATGTCAATATTTTCTTTTTCATTACTTTAACGTTCACTTCGACTGTCTATCCTCTGTTTACTTGTTTCCATTTTCCTCCTTTATTCAATTTATTTTGTGCATAAATATGAAATAAACATATACTCAAGTCGCCATGGTTTTCCAGGTTCAAGTTATAAGAAAATAGTTTTTAGAACACACTAGAAGGTCTAGAAAAATCTCACGAAATTAGTACTAACATGCCGACAATTTTTCAGTGCATGGAAGTAAAATTTGTCACTAGTATTAGGTATATACAAAAATGTGTATCAACTATACACAAAAATGTGTATTAATTTATATTGGGAACCATCCGACCTTTGCCATCACGAGTATGAAGCCAAGAAGGGCCTGTTCAGGTTCATGCAGAAGCAATAACGGCCGAAATATTTTATGTTAAAGTGGACTTCTGAAAAGTGATCAGTATTTAGAAGACTTTTTCACATCTTTGACTTGTCACTATGATAAAAGGCTATAAAAGTAAATTAATCGACAATTCAATGGTAGATGGAATGTTAAACTATTTGCGCTTATAACGGTTTGGAACTTGGCACAAGATGCCGAAAAAAAATTGCCAATCGCGATGATCATGCGAAACTAGATATTTATTTTTAGAGTTTTTTTGTGTCCCTACTGTTTTCGGGAATATCTTTAAATCTTTAATAATATAACAGTAACTAACGTAAAGTATTCAAAAGATTAAATAAACAATTTAAGTGACAAAATGTTGTAGCATTTAATAGTGTTTTATTAAGTCCTTGTATGCGAGTCTTCGCCTTTGATTTAGATGGTTGAAAAAAGTAAACATTCTGGGCGAGCCTCTGTTACTTACATATTGCAAGCAACAGAGAATAATTTAAAGCTAAACTAAAAAGTGATTGCAAAAGGAATTGCAAAAAATTATATTTTTTCATGTTGAAATGCACTCTTTTTGTCGTTAGGTATAATGGTAGCATTATGGTGAGAAAAACTTGCCCTCTATTTTAAAAAAATTGACAACGAGATGTATATTGCTGCCTAATCCAAGTTAAATAGATGGCGGCAGTATCAAAAATTCCCCAATAATTTGAGTCTATTTCATTCTTGGGTTAATTATAATTAAATATTGCACTTTTAGTAGAATGCTTCGGCGATTAGTTGACCATTTCGATTATATGATTCAATTCACTTACTTGATAAAATATAAACAAAACCAAATTAGCATAGATTCCTGTCCATCTTGTGGTCCAGTGTTTCAACACTTCTTGCTGTTCAAGAGTATGATTAGCTTGAGTCCAAGTAAAGTCGCTAAAAAGTTGAACCACCTGATCCTTGGGAATCAGATCGGATGCTATGAATTGACCAATACCGGGAGGCCATGTTACTGTTGAAATTATTAATATGATGAAAAATGGGTAGACAAATCGACTGAAAGTAAAATATATTATAAAAAATAAGCAGCATAAGCATAAAATGTGTATTATCCGCACGATTAGAATTTGGTATCGTACATTGCGTATACATTCAACCAAAACAGACAAAGGGACAAATACCTTCTGATATTTTTCAGTTTTTTTAAACTTACTTTGTTTTTTTAATCCAGTTAATACGTCTATTCTTCTTCATGTGCCTATTGAAAGCTCTTAAAATGAAGATGTAAAATGACCCTCCCAAGCCGCAAAGCACTCTAGAAAGCATTTTATAATTTAAATACAAAATTGCCAGAATTGTGATACCGACCCCAAAATGGCAAACGATATCAACTCCAAAGGATCATATGGAAAGTCGGTGATAAATTTAGTTGGAAAAACTACTCGGATTGTATCAGTACCATCAATCCAAACGTATAATAATCTGAAAATAAAGTAATTTTAATTGCAGCACGCCAATAAAATGATCAAAAAGCGATACGATTATTAACTAATGGGAGCACAGTTGAAAGCAATTGAAAGTGTACATTTATACAAGAAACCTAGATGTGAGTTTTGAACAAAAATGAAAAATTTTCTTCAAACAATTTTAATTAGAAGCATATAATAATTGAAACTGGCGAATTCTCAGGTTTAATCGATTAATAGTTTATGTGAGAATCGTTTGCTTCTTTCATTATTAAATTCTAGATTGACTTAGTTTTGAAAAAGTCTTGGAAACGTCTAAGTATTTAAAAGAATGCATTAAGAATTATTCTTATTAAAAGAAAAAAATATTTTTCTATGAAACACCTTGCCAAGAAATGACGCACAAATATACCCAAAAACACAATTTAATTTTTTTAAAAACTTATTTCAATAATTCATTGATTCCGCGAATCACAGAAATATAGTAGAAATGTATGGTTGAAAAGCATACCAAATATACAGGCAATCGGAAAATTATAAAAACTTTAATATTTTTTTTATTAAACCGACAAAAATGTTATTATATATATAAAAAAGTTTGTCGAAATTCGTGAGAAAAAATCTTCTAATCATATCAACAATTGGAGCTAAAGAATTCAATCGGTTATTGCTAGTCAGATGTTGGATTAACAGTTTATCTTATTCTGTTCTGTTTTTAGATGAGAACTTCAGAAAGATGTTGCTTTAAAAACGCCAAGAGAAAAGCTGAAAACACCGATAAGGGAACGTTTGTAAAGAATACGTTAACACATTTTGTTGCATTAATTTCTTGATGCTTTGTATGTTCTCATGCAAGTTTGGAATTTCTCAGCGGCATTAGCATTTATGCTATTAGAAAAATGCTCCAATAATAATTTGTTTCTTGGTCTCTGTGGTTCCAAATCTATCGGAACGCCAAATTCATTGCTAGAACGAACATGAAAATGTAGCGTTCTTGAATATAAATATATTAAAATTTCAAAAATAATTTTAATTAAAATAGTATTGAATAAATACACTACTCTCTAACAATTAGCGCTAAATGTGGTTTTCCTATACAAGCGGACCTACAAAATGTAAACAGTGGCACAGTGTACCTGTAAACAGTGGCACCCCAAACTGCAGCAAAGAATCCCCTCCAGTAATTTCGTACAGCATAATAAGCTGTTGAAATTTCAACACTGAAAAGTACTCCTATAAAAAACATATTTGGTTTTGAAAGACGTCGATTTCATTGTAATTAGTAAAATTAGTAAGTAAATTAAAAAAATTCTATTTCATTAAAAAATATTACTATGCGTTTAGGAAATATGTTGATTTAATTCGAAAAAAATTATCCATATTTTTTATCAACAAACATTAACAAAAATAAAGGCAATTTTTCCGAAAAAAAATATTAAATTAGCATTGCAAAGAATGTAAAATTTGAAGTATTTAAGGGAACAGTTTAATGCTTAAGGAAATAATTAATTTTACTATGGATAAAATAGTGAAATCCAGCAATACAAATAAACAGTTTGATATACATTTATGTAGATTACGCAATTACGAAATTATATTTCAATGGTAGATTGGAATCATATTTGTTCGTTTTTTGTTGAATAATAAAAAAAGATAGTCATTCTAGTAAAAATAAATTGAAAAATTACATAAGACATCCCATCCCCATTAACACAGAGAGGTGCAATGGACTATGTAATTTTTAAAATAACTTTTTTAAACTTCAATTTAGTAAAATTGAAAAAAATTACAATATTAAACTAGTAATGAAAAACGTAATGAAGTAATGAAGCACAAATAGGAAGTTATAAAAAAATTAAATAAAATTAAAGACTCAGGAGTTATTTATCAAACCTGTTGTAAAATAAAATATTGTAACCGATTATTTTATTTATTTGTGTTTTTAGCAAAACTGCGAAACTAAGTTTAAATTATGAATATGTTTTCAATTTAGTTCCAGTAATTGGAAAAAAAAATTTACCCACAATATTACAAACTTACGACTATATTAACGGTGTAAAACATGCATGAGAGAAAATAGTTTTTTTATTATAATCCATTATAATGTGATTTTTAATTATTTGTGTTCTTAAAGTTACATTAACGTTTCTATTTTGTTGTTGAAAATGAAAGATAAATACCTTTGTCAATTATATTAGCTATGAAAATAAAGCTATTCGTAGCAAGAAGAAAACGAAAAAGCGACGAAATGATTCTCGTTCAATTCTTAACTATTCTTGCCCGTTATTGTCGTAGACAATTTCTTTTCAAGCGCTTCTTGCAGCTGCAAGAATTTTCAATGATTCCGACATTTTGACAACAAATAAATGTAAATTTATCTAGGTGTGCTCTGTATGGCCTAGAAAGCGTTTATTTGTTTTGCATAATATTTTGCAATACCGATTTGGAAAGCAAATCAAAAAACCATGTATGTTTATTTAAACCTGCTTTTCATTTGTACACGTTCTGCATTTACTGGAAGTAACAGATGAAAACCTGCACATCCTGTAAATAAAACGCAACACTTATTGTATAAAAAAAAACAAAGTACCTCCAATAGGAGCATTGAAAGTGCACGCAACTCCCACTGCATACGCGGCACCTATTAGCTCCAATTTTTTGTTCTCATTCAAATAAACGCTCTTGAAACTGGAGAAGTATTTGCCCATTTTGGTTACCAATATACTGGACATTTGAATCAAGGGCCCTTCTTTCCCCAAGGGTAATCCGCTGCCAAGAGTAGCCATAATTCCCATCCATTTTGCAATTAGCACGCGAAAAGTTAGGTACTCTTTGAGGTAGATGCCTCGAAGGCATGTTTTAATTTGAGGTACACCGGAACCTAAACAGTATTTTAACTTAATTAAAATGATTGCTGATAGGCGCCCGAAGCCGGAAGGATACGAAGGGCTTACCTACTGCTTTAGGGGCAATTAGAGAGGTAATACCGACGTCCCACAGGATTAAAACGACAGGGATTGACACCCAGGCCACCCATTTCGCAAAGTATCGATCAGCCAGTTCGCTGAATAACATTGCTCGAGCTGAAAATCATTGAAAGTTTTTCTGCGGCATTTGTGCAATTTTCCCATATACATATACCTTTACCGCACATTGCAGCTCCTTGATCGATTGAATAGCTTATAATGGCAACGAATATTCCGAGAGCGGCCAAAAACAGCCACTCTTCCCCAAAATATCCAAAAGTGTTTCTCCATACTTTAGCACAACCCCTATAAAACTTTCCTACAAAAGCAGAAAAGGAACAAAAACCGTTGACAAAAGGAATTAATATTTTGTCGCTCAAGATTTGCCATTTAGTGCTTGAACACGAACTTTGGAATGTTTTTCTCTATTACCTTGATATATCTCAAATTCTCTTCGTCTAGCTTTTTCCAGTTCTTTCAGCTTCCGTTTATCGCATAATTGTTTTTCCCTTAATGTTTCGTATAAATCTTCTAAAGATTTGTTGAAATACTATAAGGCAAGACAGTAAAATTGCAAAACGTGTGTTTAATTACAACTTGTTTCTAAACTGGTCTATAGAAAAATTAATTATTTCTTAACAGTACTGGTTTTATGGAATTTTCATGTTAATGAAAGCAGCAAAATATAAAATTAATTAATTAAAAGCTCTTTAATAACTATTTATAATTAATAATTCCTAAATATTATGTAAATACTATTCTATTAGAAGGATTTATAAGCAGACCCAAATGCGCAAAATTAAACAATTTCAAGCTAAAATTCCATTCTACAAACTTTCAAAATCTTCCATTATTGTGAAACTTTATTCTTCTCTATTAAGTAGATTTGCGGAAATAAAGCTGGTAATGGCCACGTAAATGAGAAAATATTTTCAAAATATTAAGAATTTGTCGATAATACGTATTTCAAAAAGAGGGAATAAAAAAAATGACTTTTTGCTAAATAATGACTAAATACGGTTCGTAAAGAAATTAGTCAATAAATAGATGGCTCTAAAATTTTATTTCCCTCTGTTTTCTATCTTTCTTAATTACATTAACTTCAATTCATTGGGATTTAAAAGTTGTAGTTCCATTTTACCAACAAAAAACAATTAGTAGAAAATCAAATCAAATAAGTAATTTAATTCCAAAATATATTTTGAAATTTGAAATAAAATAAAATAATTAAATACCTGTACTGTAGAATATTTTGCATCGTAAAGTTGGGAACTAGGCAAGTACTTTCCTCTACCACTCATTTTCGTTTTTTAAGTCGGCAATTTCCTACAATTTTTTCATTGTGCAAGTCGAAAGAGTACTATGATAATCCAGTTAGTTTGCGGAACTGTCCTTGTTTGGTATTTACGTTTGCCAAACGTGATACCAATAAAGAACAATAAAATTAACTACTGGTATATACGTCGGTTATGTACCCGGGGTAAATAGTACTCATGACTGTATTTGTACAAAGGGCAATAAATGTATAAAAGGGGGTTTTTGGCTGGCGGTAAACTGCTTAAATATTTGGATAATGTCTTTGATATATTTGATCTTTACTACATTGCACTAGAACACGTACAAAAACGAAAAAGATCAGCAGCATACAAAAGAAATATATTTCGCAAATCATTTAATGGTTTTTTAAATATTTTGCACATTAGAGTAGAAATTATAACAAACGTTAGATTTTAAAAGCAGTTTTGCACTTCAGGGCATAATTTCAACTATATTGTTTTAATAAAATATAAAAATCCCATACAAATAGAAGTATAAAACATATTATCCATGCGGTTTAAATCTTTTGTCGCTTTTGCATTTTTAAAACCGTAAGATGTACGCACAGATTCGAATCCCCCCAAAGGCAACATGAAACGGTTTAAACAGATTTTCTCAACACAAACCGAAAGCGAAGCTACAATATACGAAAAATATGTTGTATGTATTAAGGAAATCGACAACCTGTAAAAAATGTAAATACAAAAGCAAATTTTTTCGAAAAATATCTTGCAACTCCTTTCTAATGGTGAATGTAGTACCCAAATTATCATGGCGAATGTCGCATTAATTTGTCCATCTTTTCATTATCAGGTTTATACTGGGTACATGCCTTTATAAAATATTGCAACTTTTTCATAATAGAGAAAATTAAGTTGCTTTATTAATTTCAATTTGCGTTATTCCATAATTAACAATTTTATCTGGAATTACGCAGATAATTTATTTAATGAGCTACAATTCGAATACAAAGTTTATTTCATAGGATCCGCTAAGGATTCTGTTTTTTTATCTCCATTATTACAAAATTTTCTGAAGAGAGATTTTTTTCGAATGCTGAAAAGTACATTTGCTCGATTGAGGATTTATAAAATATAAAAATTAATTGGCTTTGATGTTGGCCAAATGTTTTCTATTTAATCAATCTGCAGCGACCATTTTTCTCAATGGAAGGAATGGATTTTCCCATTCGCATGGGAGAAATGAACTATTTAAAGATGTAAAAATTTGAAGATGCATAGTCGTCAATAGAAAATATGTCCGTTATTTTGAAAATTAAAAAATAGAAAAGTATGGCACAACCAAGCGCGCTTAGCACATTCCAGTAGATATTTTATAGCAAGTTTAACTTCGAATTCATTATAAAATTTAAGTGAAAACTGTAAAAATCGTAGAATACATCAATATTTATCGGGTATACCGTGGGCACAAGATCAAAAATATACTAAGACAGTATTCTTAAAAAAATGTCTGGCTAATCTATTGATGGTCAAAGTGCTTCACAAAAATGTTGTTTTTTGAACTAACGCGAGAATCGGCTGTGAATTTATTCTTATGTAAGCCTCACATTTTTATCGTTCTATCGATCAACCCACTTTTTTCGCTTTGTCAAAATTACCATGACTTTTTATTTGGTTACGGTAATTAACTCACTTTTATGGTCGACGCACTAATAGTCTTTTTTACAGAGGATGGTCAGCAAGGTGGTCCCACCTGACAGCGAACTTAGGTGCGAAAGGAAAGTTAAGGTGGAAATCCCAATAAAAACAAGTTGGAATACTAGGACAGTGGCTGTGCGAAAGGGGGAGCAATGTTGGTACACCATAGGCTCATGGGCGCCCATTACGACGGTCTGGAGCAAGCGTGTACCCACAAGACATCAACAGGGGAGAGTTCTTTTCGCTGGAAAAATGGACGAGTGTTTCAGGAGGAATCATATGCAATCCTCGAGGTTGCCACAGATAGGGAGGTTACAGAAGGGCTAGAGCAAGTGACCGAGATCTACTCTGCCAGCCAGGCTGCTCTCAAGGCACTCTCAAGTATTAATATGGGCAGTAGACTGCTCCAGGACTGCTGGGATGCCGTGAACAAAGTGGCAGAACAGAAACAAGTAAACATGCGGGCCCGTCCATTGGCGGATCTTCTGAGAGCCCAATAACTGCCGAACCTCACATATGGTTAAGTAACCGACAGGTAGCAAGCCTCAATGAGGTTTTTAGAGGCACCGCAGAGATGGCGAAAAGGGCCTTTAACGCCTACTCGCCGAACCCATCGGGTCCCCCCACGATACTACCAGTACTTGGGCCGAAGCACTAATCGTTTTTTTACATTTTTGTACTCTTTGCAAAATCTTGAAGCAGCCTTAGTTTTTGCGAAAAAATATTCCTATTTTCTTGCAAATAACAATTTTTAGCAATAAGTATTTTGTTGAATTATGAAATATTAAATAGATATTTAGCTAGAAGAATTCAATGTTAGAAAACTTGGGCTTTCTACTGAGGTATCAAAGCTATAATATACGTACCTGCATATCATTGTATACTTTAATTAAATAACTTTTATAGCAGAGCTGCAAAATTTCACTTACACTATACTTCACTACATCATCTTTTTTTCATAAATTGAAATAAATTGCAACTTGACTTCAAACGAACGTTTTCTGGTAACAGAATCTTTAAAAAATCCCTAAAACGCACAGTATTTGATTCATAAAATCAAAATCGTTGTACTGCCCGTTAAAATTAACGCTACCTTTCACATTTGATAATTTCGAGAGGCAAACGGTGCGCACCAAGTGAAGAAACCCCAGTCTCAAAGAGTTTTCGAAATAAATGATTATACACTTTCGCTTTTTCAGTTCGAGAAAATATTTTTGGAAAAACATCTTGGAAAATATTTTTGAAAGAAATAATTATTTCGGTTTTGTTCATAATTCGATGCTGAAAAAGTTTAGCAAAAATTTTTGCAAAGCGGTGAAGGAGGCGAGTGATATGAATATAAATAAAATTTATCTTTTTATTTTTCACAGAAAATACCTAAAAATTGTCAGCATTTTAAGTAAAACTAAAAAAAAAATGCGATTTTTTTGCGTTTTCGATTAACGGTTTTCTACCTTTAATGATTTTCGGAGAAATAAGTAATAACGGTTTTGTCCCGAATTCGACGCCGAAAAAATTTTTACTAAGGTATTAATTTTTATGTAACTGAAACTCTACAAAATAGAGCATTTTTGAGTAGAAAGTGAAGCAAACAAAAAATCAGTTAAAACTAAAAAACCACCATTTTTTCTACAAACTCTTACAGTTCAGAGGTATGGAGGTGACGAGATTTCCAAATAATCTGTTATAAACTTTCGCTTATTCTGTTCGTTTTTTGATGGGAAATTATTTTATTTTTGTTCCAAATATGAAGCTGGAAAGGGATTTAAAAACTTTTTACAAAGCGACGAAGGATTCGAGATTTATTTCATAATTTTTCGCGTAAAATACCTTAAGTATTTTTAAGTTAAACTTTAGAAAATTGAGCATTTAGAAGAAAAAGTAACTTGCCCAAGAAATTTGAAGACATTTCAAAAATATTATTAATAAATAGCCATTAAAATAAATCTAAAACAAGTAGAAAGAAGTCATCAATATTTTCTCAGCAATGGAACTGAGTTACTGCGCCGGTGCGTTAAGTCGGCGCACTGTGTCAACTCCTAAAAATTGAAAATTTACTGTGGCCTAATTTGGAGTCTCGCCAAGAAGAATATACTGTATGTATGTTCGACATTTTTATAAGTTTAAGCAAATTTTTCAATGCTTTATTTGAAATATTCAGCTATACCTACTAACAGTTTACCAAACGGCGATTGAACTCCTTAAAAATATGGCTAACAGCTCCATTCATCAAGTAATCCCCCACATTGTCTCAAATGGAATATGGGAAATTTGGGATCACATATGAATCATAAAAGCATAGATGACACACCCTGTAGATTTGCCATAGAAAGCAGTAATTTAGCAATTCAGAGATAACGTATCATAATAGAAAGGCGAAGTAGGCTATCCAATAGTCTACGTCATAAATATACACTAAGCATCGGAATAAATTGTATTCGTCTGTACAGTTGGACTAGCAAAATTAAGGCGGGTTTAATGAGTGGAGAAATAATAAAATTTTGATGATTCTAAAATGAACGTTACCTAGCAGGAGCAGAACTTGATCTTCGATGAGCGTTTGATAAGACAGATATTAAAATTTTCAAGTAGGCTTTATCATTTTATAGCGACTAAGGTGCAATAGGTGAGGACTTGATTGGCGTTTGAGATATGCTCACATCATATCTCGAATAATCAGAGAATAAAATATATGTTTTCTCTACTTTGAAATCTTGCTGATATCTGCAATTAGCTTGCTTGGTCAGTTAGGACAAAATGTTCGAATCGCCAGTCAAAAGTACAAGTTAAATAATAATCTGCGTATTAATATCCGTCATCGATACACTCCTTAAGATACTATGAATAGTCAATTGACACCAGCTGATGGCATATCGCCAGTTACCTCTACGAGAGACTACAAAGTTCGGTATCGAAAATTCAAGATCACCGTGGATCATTTGAACTGCGGATATCTTTGGACGGTCAACAACTTACAAACTATTTTACTTGTCTCATTTGAACAACGCAAACAGCATGTCTTCAAATCTATCTGTTTACACTGTTTTTGAACTCATATAAGCTTACAGGCAATTACTAAGATGCTTATTCATAGCATTTTGCAACAAAAGTAAAATAATGCTCAGTATCGAGTGAGACATTACGCAAAGGGATTTTAAAATCTCCGAAGCTCGTTGAAATTCTTAAGCATTCGAAAAACAAACGGATCGTTTCAGAGGAGATAAGGATTTCTTATCTATCAAATAATGTGTTTGCTTATTGAGAATGATAGAATAAATACCGAGATTTTTTAGATAATTAGTTGTGATTTTGGTTTTTGTGCGAAAAGTTGCCATTGCTGTGAGTAAGTGACCAGAAACTAGTTTTTTAAATCATTCCGGATTCTTCTCAAGAGGAGTACAGTTTAGTTGAGTAAATAAAAATCTTCACCGGTAAGTTCTCGATTTGTTAGGTATGAATCGGATTCACTAAAGTGGCCTGGCTTGGGATTTTCCCATGGGCCTGGTAACCCATTTCGCTAGCGTACCCATGAATATTTGTTGTATGTGTAATTGGTAATACTTAAATATTACACGCTACATATTTTGCATGCGTTCAATTCGTGTTGAATATACCGGATGTAAATTAAGTCTCTTTACTCTACAACTTAAAAGTTTTTTTCTAAATGTTGAGAGTTAAAGTATAGAGACGCTATGTTTTTGTTTCCTTGGTAATTTTAATATTTTCTAATACCGGTATTACACTACGCACTTTTCTTCGATTTATTGGCATATAATAAATGACAAAGATTATCGTCTTGACCGTCATCGACTCTACACTTATTAACTAAATTATTCTCGCAATAAATTGGTGCAATTTAAGTAAAACGAACGTAAATTTCAATACTTTAGTTCTTTGGTGTTGGTAACGACGTGTATATCGTAGCACATGATCCAAGACCCAGATTCTTTGGTTATGCCTTCAAAGAAGCGACTAATTTTCTTTATTAATTTGCTAAACTTATTGCATATGCTAACACAAATCTTCAACACCTGAGACACAATTTAATATAACGAAAAAGTATTTTAACCGCTAATTTCTTGTCACTTTACGAGTTCGAAAATGGTTTTCAACATCTTCATTGCACAGTGAGCAAGTAACACACAGCCCCAAAAGTTGCTGTCCGCAATAAATCGTACGATTTATCGATCTCAGCCCGACTCCTCGCTTTACGCTCATATGTCTATCGTTGGTTACCATCAGTAATTCACGCAATTTACTGGCCGATAAATTGGGTAAAAGTGCGTAGTGTAATACCGACATAACTAGTATACCTATTGTTTACAACACCGCTTACTTGCGCATTTTGCCTCATCTTTATGGTCTATGAATGGACTGTATTTTCTCACTTTTTATAGCAAATAGTCCATCAAATTTGTAATTTTTTCTGAGGCAATAAAGTATATTTTGATCTGATTAAAAATTAATATTGAGAGCGTTTGCTGAATTGTCCACCTAGGGGGTTTCTACGACATATTTTTACGATGGTTAATAAAAAATTATTATTGAGAAGCAAATTAATTTACAATTTTTTTTTTCGATGGTAATTTTTATCAATCTAATTATCTGCATTTTATATCTTCTTCAAATGGTGCCTGATACAGAGTCTGTTAGTAAGTTATTAAACATTAAATATAAACACAAATTTCTGCCAAATTGTCAAAACTGTTTTAAATTTAATTTAAATTTAGTTGTTTACAAAAAAAAGTAATATAATAATAATTTCGATGATTTTAATTCAGGCGTATGTCTTTGGTCTGCTTTTTTACTTTGGTCAGATTTCAGGTATGATAAAATTAAATAAATATGGCATTACACAATCACCTTGATATAATGAAAACGCGTTCATCAAATTTACGTAGCTTTTTATGATTTTACTAAAATTGCAACAGAAACAAGTTGAGTTCTGCGACAATTATAAAAGTGCATTGACAATTATGCGATCTATTGAATTATTTGTTTAAAAAGTGCAATTGATTACACGTTTATTTAAAAGTTTTGAAGCTTTCTTTCTGTACAATTTATTACATTCACAAGTGACTTTATCAATTACATTTTTATACTCATCCCAAAGAGTGGATTAAAACATGGAAAAAGACATACGGGCATACCAATTTAGCTTTAGACCGAAGCAAACTGGATTTCATCCACTGTTCAAAGCAAATTCAAAACCATAGAAAAGGTTACTCAAAAAACAAAACACTTTCGATCATCAACTTACACAGAGAAAGGAATCAGCAAAGAGACAACCAACCACAAGGCAAATGCAAGGCAAAGCGATTTGTCGAGCATAAGACAAATACTGACACATTCTTAGAGCAAACGAAGCGAGCAAAAAGAAACTCCAAACGGCACATACAAACCGCTGAAAAAATCGCAGTAAGATGAATTTCAAAAGTAAGGAATCCCCAAAAAGCCCTTACGCAACCCTTGAAACCAATACGATCTTTAAATGTGACAAAAATATCAAAAAGACTGGCACAGTTACAATCAAAATTGAAAAACAACAGAACGATAATAAAACCCCATGTTTCACGTGATAGACAGAACAATTTCGTAAACCAGTTTTGTAACGAGACTATTTTCATTTGGTCTTTCGCAAATTTTCTACTTTGATTAATTCAATTTCAGTCAATAAAATAATTCTGATAATTATTGAAATTTAAAACTTCTTTTACGTATTTCGTTTTGGTCAAATTCATCAAATTTTCAAATGACCATTATTGTATGAAATGAAAATACCTTTTAGATACATTTTTTATTACTCCCTTCTATATTCCAGCGAACATTTCTCTCTCTTAATCAACTAACTTAACTAATAGATATAAATAGAAATTGATTTAGTTATTTTGTCTCTTTGAATTAAAAATTGAATTGTTAATTCTCTTTGCTGATTTTTAGTTGTTCAGTGGTCATAAAAATTGATAACAAATATTTTTTGGAAAATGAGTGTAAATTGAGAATATGTTATCGATTCGTTTAAAATTTTTATTCATCTTTTATATAACTTAATTCAAACTGTTTTATAAAAAGTATTGCCAAAAATGAGTGATGAAAAGATCCAAAATTGACAAAACTTCATTTTAAATTGAAATTCAATTAGTGTTTTTCTACCTACTTAATTTTGTACGTTTTTAACTTTCGGTTTGATTACATTTAGTATGTACTTAATAATTAATGTCAACAGTCTCATATATTGATTCAAGCTACTTTCAATTTTTGGGGTAGTTTATCTACATTTTGCACAGCTTTCTAATAGAGTTTCTGATATGGTTTTCTCTAATCAATTCTAATTACCACTGCAAAAAAACCTACGACTTGTCTGGAAACAAATCATGTTCAAGTCTATTCTGCATCAAACTGGTTAATTTCAACCAGTCGGTACAATTTGTAATCAAATTTGGTTTTCTACAACCATCATTTTAGCGGATCCGATAAAACCGAATTTGTTTTAACAGCCCGTCAAGTGACCTTATTGAAGCTGACGAGCAATTACAATTGGTAAATAATTTAATGGTGATTAGTTTAAGCAATTCTAGCAAATTCCTTAAACCAATAACCCAATATGTGTGGAAAACAACAGGAGTTACACATACAACATAGATCGTTTAAATTCAAAATATAAAATAATTGTAATTTCAAAAATAGCTAGAGGTAACAGAAAACAACATTTAGAGTACATTCGAAAGCATCTAAACTATTCAGGGCGTTGTTTGTTTCACTTCAAATTTTCCAGTTCCTACTAGTTTTCGAATAGTCGAAATATTGCTAAAAGCTATTTAAATAGACACCGCAGAGCGTAAAATCAGAATACACTAATTTTAATAAAATGACCACCACTCTCTAACACTCGGATCATGAAGTTAAGGAACATAATTAACTTTAAATAAAATAATCGGATATTAAAAAAGTACAATTGCTTATTAATACTATCTCCAAATGCGAACTTGTAAATACTTCAAAGGTAAAAAGTTCCAAACCTGAAATTCCGGTTTTTTTCTCTGCAGAATTAACATCAACCGATCAGCTGACGCAATATTTGTTTATTGTTCGTACACGTGATTTCATGTTTAATACACAAATTAACGTTGCCTTGTTGTGGACTTATCGATAATAACTTTCAAGTTGTTTTTGAGACGTTTTCAAATAAATTAACACATGGGTAATTAATTTTATTGTTTGAGCTCCTAACAAAAACAGTTAGCACTTTCCTGATAGGTAAATTTACCTCGGTTTAGTAAATATTTTTCATGCTCGTGTTTCAGCCATCGCCTTGTGGATTTTCTGAATGTATCTTCAAATAGAATTTTAGAGAGTTTCTCTTGAAGACTTATGAAGGAATGACACAACCATGGTCGTAATTTGCAATTTAAATCAAACAAGACATACACAAACAGAAAAAGATAAATTCAAAGGACAAGTTGGAGCTTTCGCGCAAAAAGTTAATTATGAAAATTACCATTAAAATATTTACTAATATTGCTATCAGCAAGTTTACAAAACTAAATCGCATGCACGCTTCATAAATTTAAATGCATTTACATACCAGCAATCGCAAGTAAGTAAACGTAAGACATAAAAATAATTTCGTTGCCCTTAACGTTCCAGTTCATATCAAGCACACAACCATCTTTTGACTAACGTATTTATATTTATTAATGTTCTTGTGTTAATTAGCGCTTACAATCTCAAACCATATTTTATTGGCCTCATTCCAAGAAAAAAAAACAATCACTGCTCCTCTATTTTAATACTATCTGAAAGTCTGCGGGCTCCGAGTCTGGTCAACACGGTGGTCAGGCCATCAGCCAACTCTGTGTTTTGATAAATTGCGAAACGAATTTTTCGTTTATTATTGTACGGGAGTTATTGTTGTATTATCTAGTGTCCACTTTCGATTACAACTTTTCAGTTATTCGGTTTTCATGAGTTTGTATTGAAGTGTTGGTTAATGAGTGGGATTTTTCAATATTGTGGACGCTAAGATGTTTGCTGATGGTGTTAAATAAAATCGCACTAAAATTTAAATAAATGGTCCTGTTATTTACGTGAAAGGTATATAAACTTGCTGTTTATCTGGGTTAGTTGTTTGATGATTTAATTAATCAATTTGAATTATTTAATTTAAGATTAACAGTTTATCAACATATGAAGAAATTTTATGAATTTAAGTGAACTGTTTTAAACTAAGCAAACCATAAGATGAAGAAATCCATATAGAAAGGACGCTTGGCTGGCGGTGATTTTAGAAATTCAATTTTGCTTTGTACTGTATCACAATTAATTTATATGGAACTCAGAGGGTATCAAGCAATACACATTTTTATCGTTTCTAAATACCTGAAATGCAATGAAAATTTCTGCAATCCGATCAGAGTCGTTTAGTATTTTGCTTTTTTCTCCTTCTGGCGTATTGGCTCGGTCCATTTTTTTTGGATTATAAAATTTCAATTTCAACAAGTTCTGTTCATCTGTTGCACTAAAGATTTAGCTCAAGATATTAAGTATAGGTAGTGATTCATCTGAAACTTTATGAGTTTTATAATATATATAACTTTTACCTAGAATGCAGTTTTAATCGGGTCACTAGTTAAAAAACATAAAAATAAATGCATGTTGAATTCTGGAAATTTAAACTGGTTATTAACAGGTAAAAGATATGAACACGAGGACGAACATTTGCACTAATTTATGAGGTGTTTAAGTATTCAACGTATCGTCTATAATCTGTTCCATTTTATCCAAGATCACGAGGTGATTTTGAAATGGAATTTCAAAATAATTTATTGCCGTTAATTAGCACACTGTTAAGTGTTTTGTCAAATAAACACTTTCAGTCATAATTAGTGTAAGCTGCAAGTGAAAAATGTGCTTTGCTGATTTCAAAACAATTGTCATAGAAAATGTCATTTTCCTTATGAATATTGACACACAAATGATATATTTTTGTAGCTGATCAATTTTGTACGTTAGTTATTTGAATTTGTTTCCTTTTGAAGTTAATGGAAGCCAAGAACTTGAATTGATTGCAGTTTAAACTAACTATCACCGATTATTAAATATTCAACAAAGTGTTTCATGAAGTTAAAGTAATTGAGTATATTGGACAAAATATACAGCTACTCTCAGATCTCATTCCAGCCACTAATGATAAATCAAGGATTATAGTTTTATAAGTGACTTTCATCAGGCTTCGGATTTAAAATGATGGATTTTTATTGTATTGCTGGAATTACAAATTTATAATTTTACCTGCCACGGCTTTAAAGGTATTGTTTGCTGATCTTTTTCAGATCTCAGATCTAAATTGATATGGTGATTTTAAACATTTCTTGTGAAGATGCCAGTGCTTTTAATTACAAGAATTTTATATATTATATGGAATTCTATATATATTTATAATATATTTTTTTATCGGGTTCCGCCGGTTCTAGTAAGTTTTGAAATCAGTACTTTATATAAAATTAATTAATATTTTACCCGAAACTGTTTCGCCATTTTCCACAACAAACTTCTCTTGCAACTTCTTACGTGCAAGATGAGAGCTTAGATGTAAGCTCTCATAAGCTACAATCAATCGGAAACGAATATCAACAAAATAATTTGTACTATTTGGTGAAATAAATGTAGACTGTTGACCCGACAATGTTTTTTTCAGTGCATATTTGACGTACTTATTCTATCTTAATTCCTGGATTAGCGTCATTGATAAGCTCTGGATTAAAAAGCTTTCAATTCACGTGCTTATCATTGCCAGTCAGATGGGCAAGATTACTTACTTAACGATTTACTTTTGAGTCATTGGATGGATCAGCTCAATCCAAATTTATTACAAATAAGCGCCCTATTGAGACTTTTACAACCGCTCAATGATTTTTGTTTATTTAATATAATTGGAATTCTATTTTTGTTAATTTGTTTACGTTTTTTATATTAATTGCGTTATTGGTATTTTCCTTTGAGTTCTAAGGCAATTAATTGGTTGAAAAAATGCGATAATTAATAATTGAAAACGAACCAGATTTTATCCTTGTCTGTTCAATTCTGTAACAATCATTGTCTGTTTTTTAAACTGCAAATTTCATGTTTGTTTTATAAACTACAAAAAAGTCGTTTTTATTGATGAGAAATTTTATTATTTTACAGCACTAATAAAGATATTTACACGCCCACAGCACCCGGCCTAAAAATTAACCAATTTAACATCGTCCGAGATAACATTCTAAATACAATCTCAACATTGGGGTTTTATCAACTGATTAGTCGAACTCACTTTAGTTGTTCAGTTGAAAACGTTTAATTATAATGAGAAGTTTAAACTGAACAAAATTATAGTGAAAATACTGTGGCAATCAAACTGAGGTATCAAGCAAAACATGATTTGAGAGATTTAAAGAATAAATAACAGTTGAGATGTTTAAAGCTGATGTGAGGGATGTTGAATTTAATTAAAAAATAAAAGGTTTGTTAATTTTTATGCTTTGTTCTATTTAATATAAAAATATATATACAGGGTGTTTCTTTATGACTGCAACACTTTTAAAGTAGTAAATTACTTTCTTTAATGGGACGTTTGGAATGGGTTAGTTCCATTTCAAATTCCTACGAAAATAATGGAATCTTAAAAGAGCTGGAAACGATTTTAGTTCTTCCTAAAAAATGAAACAGCTTGAACCTTCACTGCTTTGGAGTTAAGAAAATAAATTTTGCAGAAGTAATAGATTTCAATTACATTTTTGTCCCATAATAACCATTATTTTGAACGTTTTCTTACTGCTCAAAATGCCTGGTAAATTTAATAGTTTCCTAGGTTTTAATTAAAAGAAATATTGCTTGAACCCAAAAATAATTTAAAATTCATCGCTTCAGCAAAATTTAGGATGTTCACTGTTCTTCTAGATCTATCTATTAGATCAGTTAATATTATAAAACGAGCAGTCTGAATATCCATCTTTGGAAAAGTTCCATTAACATTTTTATTATCCTGTAGCTATATTTTAAACGCAATGCTTAAGAGAGAGATTTGTATTTCACGAATGTGTGCTTCGCCATAAAGAAAGTGAATCTGCATTATTATATTCAACAAAATATTTTATTCAAATAAATAAAAGTAAATCTCGACATGCTCTAAAATTCAATTTGCAACTTGCATTGTGCGCATAAACTGTTAATCTGTTTATTGAATTTTAAAACAGTAAAACAGATTGCTCCATTGAGATTTATATTCCAATTAAAGAAGATAAAATCCCTGTATTATTGTGTAAAAATAATTATTGCGATAAATTTTACTTGCACAAAAAATATGTCCAAAAATACATACACTCGACAATTTTCCTTTTAAGTCTGTGATAAACAGGCTCTCGACCAAATCGGTCATCTATCGTTATAATTTTATTTACAGTATTTTTTTGCTGGTTATATTGTTTTCTGTAACTGTGTGAATCTGGTTAATACGGTTGTCATAAATTAATGTGATTTATTATTATAACTCATGGGACAAATAAAACTCATATGTACTTTAAAATTATAATTATTATGTATTAAAATTATATATTATAAAATTATTATAATATTTAATTAGATTTATATAACTATAAATTTAATAAAAATATGGAGAAATCGCTAAGCAACTTTATTCAATAAATTCTAGCTTGGCAGAATGGATGGCTTAGTAGATATTCCCAAAATTAATTCATGTATTCTTTCAATAATTCGGATTCCCATACTTTTATCCCTAATTGTAGCTTAGAACAATGTATTTACTTTAACAGTTTTGATATGAATTAATATTGTCTTTTTTATTCATTTCAGAATAACTGCATCATCAGCCAGGTCAAAGTTCGAAACACAGTGTCGCGAATTTTTAAAGGAATTTTAATGACATTTTATTAGTGTTAAAAGACTGATTTTTAACGAACTACCCAGTAGTGATAGAAGCAATTTCAAACTTGGATGGCGAACAAAAATATGAATGACGTCGATGGTGTCAGTGCGCTGGAAGGAAAGAACAACGAGAAATATGGCTTGGGATACCAAAATACCTTGGTAAGAACCATTAATAAAAAATGTGGGATTTTAGTTCTATATATATACTTAAATCCCAAATATGACGGATGCGACTCAAAGGGGTTTGCCAGCGGCCAATCATAACAAATCAACTTGATTGACTACTGTTATTTACTCATTGGAAATAATCACCAAATTTATTAAAAGCAGGAAGTGACTGGAAAAATAACACAACATTCATGTACTATCACTATAACCATGAACATTTTCCGTGACCATATCGAACTAATATTGGAAACTATGTCAAATTATATATGAAAAGTGGAATATTAGTGAATATTAATCGATTATTCCTGAATACATAGTTTATGTTAATCCTTGAGACTTAAACTGTTGCCGTCATTTGGTGAATGACGATAGTTAATGCAATTTTAATAAATAATAACCATAAATATCTTTAGATAATATTTATAATTTGTGTGCGTAGAGGAAGAGCACATGTTAGCGCGTATTAAGTTTTATAACTTTATGAGGTATTAATAGAAAATCTACTCGCAGTTTAGTACTAAGCGCTATGCCATAAAACTGAACGAAATTAAGATAAAACGTTTTAACGACTATGGGGATTTAGCTAAGTATCCGAATTTAGCTGTTTTACATTTTTGAAGCACACGCTAAAAAAGCAAATTTTCAGATGTTTTAACAGTAACAACTAGCTACCAGAAATCCATTTTAATTAATTTAAAAAACAGAACCATTTTAACAATATGAAAATTTTTTTTCTTTAAACAGCTATTAATTTTTCTTTTCAATGCTTTCCATTACCGACCGACCGGAGTTCTTTATATTTGTTACATCAGGAGTAAAAGAAACGACTTTGTAATTGCCTCTAACTCGATAGGACAGAACCTTATCAGTGTAATTAGAATTCAGTGATAATCAAATTTTCATTATTTATAAGCAAATGTTATTACCATTTATTAAAAATAAGAATATTTTCATGCTTCAGCAATGCCTGTTTACTGAAAGTCTGCATTACGATTAATATTATTACAAAATCAATGGAAGAGGAAAAACATTGCGACAGTGAGCGCCAAGTTCAATGTTTAATGATAAAAAATCGAATGTACAACCGCAAATACGCATTAAAACTTCTTGCAAAATCATACTTTGCGTAATAACAACCGATTGTAAAGAAGGTTCAATAAATTCAAATGCCTATTTCCTTTGTTGCTTTACATTTATAAACCATATCGACTTTCAGATTAATTATTTTATCTGTATTTCAATTGATTTGATCATTCTACTAATTAGAAGCTAAAGCGAAATAGCAAACAAGGCGCAAGAGTAAGACAAAATTACTCAAATAACCAACTATAAAAAGAGTTTACCAAAAGACATGGCTTCAGATGGATAAACAAGACATCAACTAGCAAGATAAAAATGTGGCAATGGCCATTATGCATACATGTATGTTATCTTAAGACGATTTAATACATTTTAATAAATTTTTATTTAATTAAATTTGTAATTAAATAAATATATATGTATAGTACTAAATAAATACCTATATTGTTATATTGTTCTAGATTGTAAAACTTGACAGCATATAAATTAGAATTACAAAATATTATTATAAAAACGTATAGTGTATGTTAAAAATTATTTTCTCTTAGTAAGTAAGTAATCACGTCGCTAAAGGTGTCAATTTGGAAGAAAAAGAAACAAGTAAGTGTAAGCATTTTGAAACGCTGCAAAACAATACTTTCTGCTAGATTAAAAAAAACTGTTTTAAACGGTATACAACTGTTTATTTTAGGGAATTTTCCAAATAAAAAATTATAAGAAATGTTAGAATTTTTTAGCCGTACTATGGTCGCAAAAAACTTTTGGGAAATGTCGTTTATTTGACTTATTATTTAATGTTCCTTTTTTTGACTAAATAAAAAATTTGAAAATGCATTGATATATTGTTTGGTTTCAAAAAACTAACCATTTATTACACTTTCTTTATTTATTACCAACAAAACAACATTTTACAAACAGAGAGGTACATTTTCAGTTTTCCTAAGAGAGAACGTGATAAAAAATGAAATAAAACTGTAGTCTGTTGAATTTTAAATTGATTACAAGGTATTTAAATATCAAACTCTGAAATGTGAAAAATACAGGGTTTCCAACCAGGGAAGCTAGTTTCGGTTTTGAAGCATAACAAAATGTGCTAATTTGTTTTTACAGACCAATCCGCCTTAAAACTTGAATATGTTTACATTTAGAATATTGTGAGTTTCCACAATGGACAGTTGCATCGGTAACAGACGAACTGATTACTAATTGAGCTGCAAAAATTATCAAAGGTTTGCTTATTTCAACTTTAGATATTATAAATAATTAAAATATTATAAATACCGCCAGGTATTAAACAGTTTTTTACATATAACTAGATTCTTTTCATTAACATGCATTAAAAATAATTGTTGTAACTCAGTTACCAATTTGGTTTGGTAAAAGAAGCAAAAGCAGCTAATTTGATTTGAAATTAAATATTTTCTTGGGATAAGTGCAAAAGCTTTGTTCATTTACTCAAGTACATCTTTTATTTATATCGCGGAAAGTATTACCAAGGAAAATCTGTTTACATTTTCTAAATTTACATTTGCCTAATAACCGTCTGAAATGATTGTATTTATGTAGAAAATTATATTAAGTAGCTGTAATGTCTGTATAAAATATAGGCAATTTAGAAAGGTAATTTTTCAATTGTATACAATGGAAACAATTTTGTGACCCAGAAAAATGTACTGAAACTAATTTAACTTTCAAAGTGTTCACACATTCGTCTGCTTCTTAGGGTACTACTTCCGTGTGATTAGTTAATCAATTTATAATAAGAGTTTCATCTATTTAAACAGGTTGATTGAATTTGAAGTAGAAAGAAGTTAAATAATGCAATACTACACTCACTAATTTGAGTTTGTTGTTGGTTAATATGCACAATTTTAGAGTATTAGGTATCAGTTTTCTAATTACCATTTTTTTTATTGTGTATTAATCAGTATTTTTTACTTTGTGACAAAGCGACAATCAGCATCAGATTTGCTTGAGATCTCTATTGGTTTGTTTGTATTTACTATATTTGCTTGTGCGACAGGTTGGATTCGTTAAACTTTGCCCTGTTAGTCTAACTCCGACGCCTTGTTACGTTCTAATTATAACATAAGCTAAACCAAGTTTAAAAATCTAAATGATTTTGACTAATTTTGATCTTACAACTGTTACGCGTTCGGGACGGGCTTAAAATTCCTTAATAGACATTTCTTCCAACTGTAAAACTTGCTAATAAACTCACTTAATAGGAGAAGTTCTAATGCGAGTTCACACCCAGGTTCAGGCTATATACATTTTGGTGCCAAACGCGCTAACAGATTGAATTAATATTGATTAAATACATGATCTGAAATTTCACATGTAATGAAATACGTGAATTAACAAGCTTGGAATAAAGTGTAAATAATCACCTGATTTTGCGGTTGATATTCCCTGATTTACACCGGTGGATGCAAATCGAAGCTGTTGTTATTTAAAATTCTTCTTGACCCTGGCTTCTAATGAGAATCTACTAGTGACTTAACGGGCGATCGAATATCAGCACTCTATGCATCAGACATACATTAACATTGATTTATTCAAACCGTGATGTAAGTGAAGCAAACAAACGGTTCGGAGCATCAATCGAATTTTAGGAAATCAACCGGGTTTTCCAAAATCGTGTAAACCAGTTGAACATTTTTTCAATAATTTTAATTGTGTTTGTGTCCTAGTCTCCGGTTTTTCAAAATAGTTGATAATAAAGAAATTAATGAAATGGATGGAAATGCAAACTGGAAAGAAATTCCACTTTGGATTTCAGAAACTGCTTGTTGCTGCAAAAATGTATCATAAACTGTTTCTTTCTACTAAGGCTTCTTTCGTAACACCAATTCTTTAAAAGTTTAAAAATCAAAAACGCAAAGTTTTGTGGGGCTGTCGAAGTCTACGAATATATTTCTCGCAAACGATTTAAAAATTCTTAAAAATATTTGGAATCTTTTGAATGCAGCGTCTCAAGGGCTTCTCTCAAAGCTGATCTTTATTAGCCATGTTTAGGCAAAAGAGATTTAGATGATATTTAAAAAACTAGAAAAGTTTCGAACATTTTCTAAAATTTTGAAAAACGATGTTGCAAAATTTATAATTTTTATACAGAATGCCAAATAGGTTCTATTTTGTTGGATAAAATTCTTTCAAGTGGTGCCTGTTGTAAAGTTTCTCAAGATATCCTGAACATATTCTAAAAAGCCTATTTCTTTTATTTCTTCCATACTTAAAATTTTACCATTTGATGGTTATATAGATAATACATTTTGAAGAAAGTTTTGCAAAAATGTTCAGGTTTTGATTGCAAATTACCTGGTCGACTCGAGCCGCTGGCGCTACTTTTCATTACAAAGACATGCGCTGGGTGTGACGGAAAACCATTATAATAAACAAAATTCTGCAAAATCTAATCAAATGCAATAAGAGGTTTCTTAACGGGTAGTAGAATTTTTATAAACGAATGTCGGGAATGATGAGGCTTTTTATCAAATKGAACCAAAGGAGTTTAAAAACTTTTAAGGATAACATTTGCAACTGTAAAGTTATTAGTTTTATACAATGATTGTGTTTGCAACTTATAATTATCAACATGAGCCTATTAGAATTTACCACAAASTAAAAGAATAATTAAGTTGAGATTATTATAAGAAGTAACAAAAAAAAWRAACAAACAAGGGATTCCAAAATATTCGACATTGAACTATTTTTTAAATTATTTCATAATTTAAGTTAGTACATAATAATGAATGTTTAAGTTTCCATCGAAGTCCGAGCGATCTTTTTATGGAATAATCCAATTATCCATCACAATAGGTTGCCAGCTGAGGCAGATTTTAGTTATGTAAATCAATTATCTGTTCGACCAATAATGATTTTTACAAAAAACTCTCAAACTCTATTAA